CAGAAGAACCTATGAAATTAAAACCAAAGAGTTCTGCCATATTTTCACTCTATTTGTCCTTTTTAGTTTGAAGCTTCTTTTGCAATTTCAAATACAAGAAAGGAAAACTCAGGGTGTGCTGAACAGTGGAATATGTTTGATAAACGGACTTTCTGAAAAAAATTAGAATTAACCAAAGAACTTTTTATTTCATTAAAGAATGAACACTCCCAAATAAGTGCAGATGTCTGGTTATTGCAATGTACCTCTGTCTTATTCTGATAGGCTTCAGGAAGCTCTGACAACCTTGTTTCCTTTTTGAATGAAAACACCAAAATCACATGCCAGTTACCTATACTCTTTTTTTTTCTTTTAAATATTGTATTTATTTATTTTAGAGAGAGGAAGGTAGGGAAAAAGAGAGGGACAGAAACGTTCATCAGCTGTATCTCCTAGGGGCCCCAACTCGGCACCAGGACCAAGAGTCATGCATGTGCCCTAACTGGGAATTGGACCAGCAACATTTGGCTCTGCAGGAAGATGCTCAACCAACTGGGCCACACTGGCCAGAGCACAGTTACCTATACTCTTCACTTACCAGTATATCTACAGCCTCAATCACTGCTATGTTTGCCAACCCAGAAAACAAACTCTTGCCTCTTTTCCAAGTTAATCCTTCCATATACCCTCTAGATTTAAAGTAAATACCAATACCTTTTATTATTTGGAGCCATCTTCCTCCATCGAGTCACTTTCACCTACAAAAACCTACACAGATCAGGTTCTCCTCATTACCTCTCCATACACAAAATCCATCATTTTACTTTTAATACTAGATTTTTGTTATGGATTGAACTGTATGTTGAAGTCCTAATCCTAGGTGCCTGAGGATGTGACCTTATTTGAATACAGGGTCTTTGCACATGTAATTAAGATAAAGTTAATCCATTATGACTGGTGCCCTTATAAAAAGAGAAAACAGAAATACAAGGAAAATGCCATGTGACAATGGAGGCTTTGTGATGCATGTACAAGCCAAGGAAGCCAAAGACTGCTGGCAACCACCAGAAGGCGTGGAAAGTCTCCCCTGGAGGAGAGGGAAGAGGAGGGGAGGAGAGGGGAGGGGAGACCCTGCCAACATTCTGACTTCTACACTCCAGAAGCCTGAGAGAGAGAGAACTACTACAAATATTACAAATTAATTTCTGTTGTTTTAAGGCAGCCAAGTTGTGGTACTTTGTAGTGGTAGCTCTAGGAAACGAATACAGTCCTTAATGATACTGTCAGCTCCTTTCTTTTCGTATCATTTTATAATTGAATGGTCTAGTAATTTGGCACATAACCGCCTCCAATTTCCAGACACCAAAGGGTTTAAGTAACACCATTATGCCTACCCTCAAAAGATAACCCTCACAGTATTTTCCATTCTTGGTCTTGCTCACTTCTTTGTGGTATTTAACCCTGTATTTAGCTAGCTTAATTCACCCTACTAAGGTTGCCAGAAGTCACAAATAAAAATACCGTTTTATCTGGCAACCCTAACCTTTACTAAACTTTTAAAACTCAATTCCCATCTCATTCTCCTTGAAAAATGTACTCTACAAAATTCTGGGTTAGAAAAAAACTTCTATATTCCCAAAATAACATAAGCAGATACATGAAATGGTTCCCAGCTAGAAGCATTCATGAAAATCACCTGGGGAACTTTAAAAAAAATACTATTGTATGTTCTTCAATTTTCACAAAGTTCACCAGCTGAATCTGAGATACTGCTAATCTAAAACCACTGTTGACCACAAGAAAGAAAATCCCTGCCAAGATTCCTGTGGTCAAATGAGCTCAAATTCTTAAGCAAAGTCTAGCAGCCATGGTTTAGCGGTGCCTCACATGCACGCTGCATTTCAGTGAAAAGGCCCAGACAGGGCTGCCAAACCTGTGCAATGCTCCTGCCATCTGAGCCTATTATAACCAATAGGACTGAGATGTCCCTGTCCAATTGGAGCTGCACAGCTATATCCTCATTTGCATATTTACTGACCATTAAGAGGGACACCACAACAACCAATCAGAACAGAGGGGCCAAGCCAATCAGGGTAGTGATATCTGGACCAATCAAAGTGTACAAATTTGGACTTTTCATTTCAATATAAACAAACCAATTAAGGACTGCGGCAGAAACCTCAGTGGAGAGCACTTTCAGCTGCCTTTCCCTGGCTTGAGCTGTAACACTTCAGGTGTAACAGAGGATTGCTTCACTTGAGCAGTTTTAAGCAAATAAAGTCTCTCCCTTCACTGCATCCCAGATTAGGGACTCCTGGTAGCAATCAATTGGTGGGAGAGAACTGTGGTTCACACCACTACTTGCATTAACACTAAATAGGGACCGGTTGTTCACTTGCGTCTCCCACCTCAACAGAATAAATTACTTAAGACCAGAAACTGATTTTCCTATTATTTATTCCTAACAGGAGAAAGCACCGAGTATCACTGATACCAATAGCCTGGCCAGACTGCAGGAATAGGCAGAAGGTGGGGAAAAGGAGGGTCAGCCAGAGTGCCACATTGTCTGGATAACCAAGCTGGGGCCTGGTGAATGCTCTGCCCCTTGTGCACAGCAACCTACTCTGGGCAGCAGATCCCCCACCCCTCAGGCAATATGGCAATAGGAGGAAGTTTTGTAGTAAGCTCACACAAGGCTAGTAAGATGGTTGGATAGGGAAAAAATCCCTCCCGCCCCCTTCCAGTACCTGACTGTGCACAGGACCAGGGGAAGGCAGTCACATTGGCTTCAGAGATCAGAATAGCAGAAAAGGAGGAAGGGACATACTCTTTTACCCAATTCCTGAACATACTGGCTGATGCATTCACAGGACCTTCCGACCATGGAAGCTGCATGGCCAATGGCAGCATTGGACCCACATGCAGGTTCTGATGTGGCAGCCAGAGGCCTGACAGTGGCCAGGAGAAAAGCTGAGCTGCCTGGACGTCCACTCAGTGACCACCTGTGGTCCCCAAAGGATGGTACTTTAAATGGGAAAAGGAACTCTGGACACTGTCTTTAGTTTTGGTCTGGCTGAGGGAAGCTGGGTTTTCCTGTTTCCAGGAGGGGATGGGCTTTGAGACAAGAGCCTGCCATTCTCCCAGACTGTGTAGCTTTTGAATGAAAACCTCTTTCCTTTCTCACCAACCTCTGCATCTAGAATTTGTCCACTGGTGGCAGTGGGCAGCTGAACCCTGTTTTTTTGGTTTGGTAACATCAATACCAGAAGGTGGCAAAACTCTGTCCATGGGCCAAATCCAATTAACTGCTTAACTTTGTAAATAAATTAGTATTGGAATAGAGTCACACTTATTTGTTTACATATTATCTATGACTGCTTTCAATCTACAATAGCAGATATAAATAGTTGAGACAGAGATCACATGACCCATAAAACCTAAAACATTTACTATGTGGTCCTTTACAGAAATAGTTTGCTGACCCCCTAACCTGTATGGTAAACAAATAATCAATGATATACCAAATGCAACCAATTTATAATTGAAATTAACAAGCATGTTAATATGGATATCGGGAGCTTTATATGTGCACCTGTGTATATACAATAAATATCTGAATACATAAAATACTACAATGTTTGAGTAAGTTCAAATTGATGACTCTTATTAGATATATAGTAACTATCATATTGGTTAAAAAGAAAAAAGACTACCATCTGAACAAACTTTTACCCACATTGTCCAAAAATATACTGTGGATTGATGCTACATTACTGTGATTAAATACACTCCTTACAATGAACCTCTTTGGGCAAACACTTCTCATTTCACTGGGAGAAAATCACACAGTTTTTAGGATCTCAAGCAATGTCATGGTTTTCACACAATAAATGCTACTTTGTGATGACAGCAACACTTCACCTAAAGAGCTCTCATATTTCACTTAGAATAGAGCTAAGAAACTAAAAACAAAAACGAATACTTCTAACAGCTACATCCTCTCACTAAGTCCATACATAAAGTATGTAATGTATATATGTGTATATATGTATATACACAAAAATATACATGTAAAGATGTATTTTAGTATATATACTTATGTTTATATGCAATTACATACATTTATTTGATACTCTCTGTATCTTTAGCATACAGGTTTAACATATAAAGATAATATACAATCAGGGCCAGTTAGTTCTTGACTATACAAAATTATATACAATATATAAAGATAATATATACTTTCAATCTGTAAAGATATAATGCATAAAGACTAACTCAGAGCTTATTTGGTTGTTTTGGTTTTGTTTAAGCTATAACTGATTATTATATTAATTTCAGGTGTACACCAGTGATTTGATATTGGTTCGTAATTACACACAATCCATAATTCTCATAGCCAGCTTAAATTAAAAGTACCAACTTATAACATGAAAATTTTATCTCAAAAGTAGGCTAACAAACTGGAGGAGTGAGAAGTATCAAATGTCACTAGCCTTCGGATAATTCATAAAAGATTTTAAAACACTGCTATACAAAGGGAGGTCTCAGGATGAAGAGGACCTTCTTAGAAATGTGGTATCTGCATTTCCCCAATGTCCTCAGGTGATCCATATGATTTGAGACCTCTGGTCCAGAAATACTAGACCAAATGAATATTGCTAAGAGAAATTACTGTTTAAAATTACTCTTCTCGCCCTGGCTGGTGTGGCTCAGTGGACTGAGTAGCAGCCTGCGACCCCAAAGGTTGCTGGTTCAATTCCCAGTCAGGCAAATACCTGGGTTGTAAGCCAGGTCAGGTCCCCAGTAGGTAGCACATGAGAGGCAACCACACATTGATGTTTCTCCCCTCTTTGTCCCTCCCTTCCCCTCTGTCTAAAATAAATACAATATTAAAAAATAAAAAATAAATAAAATTACTCTTCTCCTCCTTGCCAATCATCCTAATCCCAGTAAAGGTCCAATTTCATAACATATAAATGGAAAACTTCTAACAATAATCATTTAAAAGATGGCAATACCTTGAGTACTTGAACTTGACCTTCTGTGGTAATGTCCTTTAGCAGCTCACAAAAGGACTGACACAGACCTACTGCATATGTCTGCAATTTAATCAAAAGTCAAAATATACATATAAATGTATCTGTAATATCTAAAACCACATAAAATTCAGTTTGGGATTCATTATAACCTATTGAGAATTATATACTAAAGTTTCATTTAATATTGTTTAGGAGTCCTGGCTGGTGTGGCTCAGTGGATTGAGTGCTGGCCTGTGAACCAAAAGGTTACTGGCTCGATTCTCAGGCAGGGCACATACATGCCTGAGTTGCAGGCCAGGTCCCCAGTTGGTGGTGCAGGAGAGGAAAGCACATACTAACATTTCTTTCCCTCTCTTTTACCTTTCTTTCCACACTCTCTAAAAATTAATAAATAAAATCTTAAAAGATTTAAAAAATGAAAAATTATAAAATTCTTTACAAAAAGTTTAGGAAATAAAAATAAGAGCTATTTCTCATGCTGATTTTTATAGAAATATGAAGATATTCTTATCAAATATTCACAGAACATAATTTCTGTGCTAAAAACCTAATTCACAGAACTGCATCCTATCTCCCCTGCAGTGAGGGGCAATGTTCATATATATACCGCCCTTAATATAGGTTCATCAGTTAAATTTTGAAAAGATAACTCCTGACTTCAAAAGAAAAATAAAATGATAAGTATATAATTTTTTACAATGCAAAACACTATAACATACCTGTAAAAATTCTGTTGATGATAAAAAGATATAACCATTGATGATCTTAAAGCAGGTTCTGAGATTTTCTGAACTTAGTTCTGCCAAAATAATAAATAGTTTTTAAAAAGAACAAATTAATTCATTGTTCAGTATCAGGTTAAACAGAGTGAATTACTTAAAATTACATACACTTCTTTACAAATCCTCACTAGTATATAAATAACTACCCCCAAACTGGCATCAACCTATAACTTAATGCTTCCCCATATACCTCCCACTATAAAAAACAATTTAGAAAAAAATTAAGTTCCCTTTTTTCCTTTCAGAAAAGAACCACATAACCACATGACCCAATCTTTAAAATCAAATTAAATGTCTAGTATTAGCAATGGCAAACAACATGCAATTGAATTGTTTTACCATCACATTTTGACATCTGCTTAAATGGGTTCATGCAATAAGCATTATGCTACCATACTTATAAAAAGAATCCTTGTTATACTCTAAAAAATATTGTTTGGATATCCTCAATCCTTGAACTTCGTTTTTCCCACTCATAAAAATGTCCTTAAAAAAAGTAATTACCAGAATAACAGGAAAAGGATAGTGTTTTTATCCATGCCTTTAAAAGTGCAAAGTAGAAGCTATTTTGTTAAAATTGACTATGAGCAAATGTTATGCAGTGTTATTTTACACATCTTATCACATACACTAGTTACACAATAGAATACAAATTGTATGTACATAATTGTGTAGATAAAAAAACACAAAATATCATCTACGCCTAAAACCTGCCATTCTTTGTTGCTAATACTTAAACATTCTATTTACTTGCAATAGGACAGGTTACAAAAAATTCTTCTGGCAAAATACTGACCTATGGCCTGGGCTCTTATGTAACTCATACTTTAACAAAGTGAGAAGACATTATATTCAGATGAGAATTTCCTATATATTCTCACAAGAAAATGACAATCCTACTTTTGGCTCAAAATGTATCTTAAAGGCATTAGTTCACAAACTTTAGGATTTAACAAATAATTTTAAAATAAGGATGTGGAGGGAAAGGCAATGGCCAATTTATAACCATGCTAATGAAAGGCATAAAAAGAAATAACAAAGGTTGTCATCTAAATATTTTTCATAACAAAAGACAAAACTCTCAGGATAGACAGGTAGGCATTCATCCTGGATAGTTATCCTTATGAGAAATTCACATTGTCCCCTTCTCCTCAAGGAGAAAAGTCCAGTAAATTCTGGACTTGTTTATAATGTTTCCCAGTCCAACATATTTGGGAACTTAGGATGGCTATATTCCAGGCACGCCAGGGAACATAATTTCTAAATGACTCCCATCATTTATGATGAAGAAAACAATATTTAAGACAGGTTGATTTTCAAAGCTTTAACACCCACCTCTTCTTACAGATATTTAAAAAACTATTCCTAGATCAATCATGTCCATCATGCTAAGAGTAGGTTTTATTAAATTTTCCAGGGCATGCTGTAATCAGCATATAGTAAATACTACTATTAAATATAGTCCTAAAATCAGTAAATGTATCAATCTTTAGGCATATTAAACACTGTTCATTATATCCATGAGTTCCTAGTAACACAAAGAAATATTATTATCTGGTCCTAGTATCAGAACCATACAATGGATCTGTATTTATTTTCAGACCCTATGAATAACTAAAGCCAAATGTTTTCAACCAGGGACAAGTTTTCCCCTCTGGGGACATCTGGCAATGTCTGAAAGCTCTGGTTATTACAACCAGCACCTAATGGGTTGAGGCTAAGGGTGCTTAATATTAAGGTTCCTGCAATGCACTGGGCAACCCCACACAACAAAGAATGCCCAAAATTTCAACAGTGTCCATATTGAAAATCTCTAATTTAGGTGATCGATTTTCTTCCTTCCACAGACTGAGAGAGCTCTGAGGAAAATCTGTGGTTTAAAGTTTCTAGTTATGCTGTGTGCATATGTGATTTATATCTATCTGTGTAATTTATAGTCCACTTCTTTTTCTCTATTTTTTGGTGCTATTTTTAATTTATAATTTCAAATGTTACATTTGATTTATTCTTTTAAGTTTCTGTAAAGAGGACAAAGAGAATAAATTACTGAATTATGTCACAAAGATTTAATACGAATTTATTTATGTTTAACCATGCTAGGTAATGCTTATGTCTGGAAATGCAACTCTAATAGTTTCTTCTATTTCTGACAAAATAAAAAGCCAAAGAGTGTAAGATCCTTATGATGCAGGGGGTGGGGGGGGGGGGGTGGGAAGAGTCCCTTCTAAATTAGATAGGAAGTTACCAACAGAAAACTTCCACTGGTCAAGGAACATTAGTCTGGCATTTATAACAACAAGGGTAAGAGCCAATCAGATGCTTACCTTTTAAATAACTGTATTAGTAAATAAGTTAGCATTATAAAATAGATTTAAAGAATTTTAAAAACAAACCCTTAAAACTACTAAATTATTAGGTTCACTTTTAGTTACAGCCTCTGGTTCTACTTAAAATATCTCCAGTTCTACTTACATTTAGAGAAAACAATATAAAATGAATTTTAGCCTTGGATTTCTTCACAATTAATGTACCCTAAAAATTATTAACTTAAATATATCTTACAGTGTTTAATATTATTGATTTTATGTAATTTAAATAAAAATGAAAAACTTCCTGATAGTAACTTTATTTCTACTTAGGAAAAAAAATAACAGCTATCATATTCATTAAATACATTTTTAATCCCATATTTAATAAGAAAGAATGTTTCACTGGTAAAAAAAGTGAGTAATAATTTTGATTTGTACTCTTAAAAGATTAAAATGAACTGGTTATAGTTGAAAAAGTTTTAAACCTCATCTGAAAAATGTATATGCAAAAAGCTACATGTCAAACAATATGAATTAATTGTGCAATACTCAAATAAAAATAAAGGTAAAAGTATACTAAATGTGCACAGATATAATTATAACCAAACTTCTTCAGTATTATTGAGGCTAATATACATAAAATAATGCATAGAACAAATCACATATTAACTTTTTGTTTTGAAAAATGTACAGAATATGCAATGTTTAGTATCATATCATCTATATTCATTGATACTCTTAAATATAGGTTTTTTAAATCTTCAAAAGCCCAAAAACTTTTAACCAACTATCAATAATCACAAGATTAAAATTTCACTCGTTTTTTGCTTTTAGCTTTTTAAAAAATATATCTTATTGATTATGCTATTAGAGTTGTCCCATTTTTCCACCTTTGTCCACCTCCACCATTCCCTCCATCAACGCCCCCTCCGCACCCAGTTTATGTCCATTGGGCATGCAAGTTCTTTGGCTTCTACATTTTTTTACTGCTCTTAACCTCCCCTATTTTGTACCTTCCAATTTGTACTTCTTAATTCCTGCACCGTTTCCCCCATTCTCTCCTTTCCCCTTCCAACATATAACTCTCTAAATGACGTCTATGTCTATGATTCTGTTTCTGTTCTGCTTGTTTAGTTTGATTTTAGATTCAATTATTGATGGTTGTGATTTTGTTGCCAATTTAATGTTCATAGTTTTGATCATCTTTTTCCTTATATATTTCCTTTTAACATTTCATATAATAATGGGTTGGTGATGTTGAACTTCTTTAGCTTTACCTTTTCTGGGAAGCACTTCATCTGCCCTTCAATTGTAAATGATAGCTTTGCCAGAGTAATCTAGGTTGTAGGTCCTTGCTTTTCATCACTTTGAACACTTCTTTCCTATCCCTTCTGGCCCACAAAAGTTTCTCTTTAAAAATCACCTGATGGTCTTATAGGAACTCCTTTGTAGGAAACTCTGCTTTTCTTTTCCTCTATTAGGATTCTCTTTATCTTTAACCTTTGGCATTTTAATTATGATGTGTCTTGGTGTGGTCCTCTTTGCATCCATCTTGTGTGGGACTCTCTGTTCTTCCTGGACTTGTATGTCTATTTCATTTACCAAATTAGAAAAGTTTTCTTTCATTCTTTTTTCAAATAAGGTTTTAATATCTTGCTCTTTCTCTTTTCCTGACACCCGATTCAGATGCTGGTACATTTGGAGATGCCCCAGAGGCTCCTTAGCCTATCCTCGTGTTTTCTGAATTCTTTTTTCTTCTTGGTGTTCTGACTGAATGCTTTTTTCTTATGTTCCAAATCATTCATTTGATTCTCAGCTTCATCCCCTCCACTGTTGATTTCTTATAAATTTTTCTTTATTTCACTTAGTGTAACCTTCATTTCTTCCTGGGTTTTTTTGATGTTATTAAAGTACCCAATGAGTTCCTGGGGCATCCTGATAATCAGTGTTTTGAATTCTGCATCTGATAGATTGGTTATCTCTATTATACTTAGTTCTTTTTCTGGAGTTTTGTTCTGTTATTTCATTTGTGCCATATTTCACTGTCTCCCTCTTTTGTCAGCCTCCCTGTATTTGTTTCTGTGTATCAGGTAGAGCTGCTTTGACTCCCTGTCTTAGTAGCGTGGCCTATCATAGAAAAGCACACCTATAAGTTGGATGGGGCAGAGCCTCAGATAATTGCCAGGGAGGGGCGACCCATGTCACCACTCTGTGGCTGTGTGGGTGAGGGCTCAGAGAGGGAATAATGCCGCTGCCTGGCATCTGGACTTGTGCCTGGGAGGAAGCTGTCTCCAACACTCACCCTGATGCCAGTCACTTCACCTTCTCCCCATATGCCACTGGTGCCTTTTCAGCCGTTGTCCTGGTGCTGAATCCTAGAGTGAGTGGGTCTGCATATGCCTTAAGTGTTTTGTGGGTCCTCTAAGAGGAGTCTTCTGTGAGTCCCACAGTTTCTCCCATTGCCCCAACCCCCATTTGTTTTCACAGCCAGAAGTTATGCGGACTTAACGTCCTAGTGCAGGAACTCTAGGCTGGGTGGTCTGGTCTGGGGCTGGGATCCCTCACTCATGAGATATCCCTCCTAATTTTTTATCTACCACACATGGGTGTGGGACCACCCATTCTGTGTCTCTGCCCCTCCTACCTATCTGGGTGAACATGGCTTCTTTAAATCCTTGGTTGTCAGACTTCCATACAGCTTGATTCTGATGTTTCTGGGTGGTTGGTTTGTAGTGTAGTTGTAATTTTTCTATAGTTGGGTGAGAAGGCAAGGCATGTTTACCTACGCCTCCATCTTGACCAGAAGTCAAATTTAACTAGTTTCTGATTCAGTTAAGTAACAAATTCCATAGAGCCAATGGTTGGGTACTTTTAAAAGTAATGTTAATAGTAGAAATAAGTATAATTACAAAACACTTAAATTGTGCTCGCTATGTGCCAGATGTTCTGAACACATAAAAGTCCTTATTGACTCGTAAGACTCTGCATCAACTACAAAGCTTTCTACAGTAAAACTGTACTATAGTACTTATTAAACCCATGCGCAAAATAGGGCATATGGGTCTAGCAGGGTTACTGTTATGTTTTTTAAGTCTCTTCTTCTTGGCCACCAATCCTCTCTGAACACACTGTAAAGCCAAGGCATGTTGAATTTGGGGTAGTATACAAAGGTGAAGGGAAACCACTGTGTCAAGTCAACCATGTGAAAATGGCTTAATTCTGCTTAAGACAAAGTTCATAATGGATCTGGGTTGAGATTTCCATTCTTAGGTCAAGTATAAGGGAACACTGGATTACCCAGAATGGTGCACATTGGTCTCCTCCAAGTTAGGTAGAACAAAGCTAAAAGGGCTTCACCAGAGTAAAGGAAAGTGAAAAGGACATTTCCTACTCTCTTTCTCAATAATGTCTTAAGTATAGACAAAACTTTCCCTAGCAATAACTGACTGGTGTACTGCCAGTGTCTTCATCTTTGGGAATTTTTTCCATAATTTTATGGAAATGTTTGATGATAAATAGCACATGGCTCTTTACTAGAAAACAGATATTTTGGTACTATTTGAGATCTCACCTATACTAAAGAATGTGGTAGAAGAACAGAGAAAGGAACAGAGAAAATGTGAAGAACTATTTAAATTATCTAGAACAGAGAGCCATTCAGCAAATGAGAGTTGTTTTTTTTTTTAACCAGTTATGGTTTTGTTTCAGTCCCCATTTGTGGATACTGTCAAAAGCGAGCCTGCACTTCTCCGGGTGCATCCTTATACCACAGTAACGTTTCTGCCTCTAATAAAACCGCTCATAACAAGTAAGTTCTTAGAAGAAACAATCTTTAGATATTGTCGAAATAAATTTGCCTTTTTCCTAGTATTTTCCTATATAAATATTGTCTCCTGAACTATTAAACTATTCTGTTAGTACACCCAAGTCCTAACGAAGGAATTCAAGATGCTTCATTTAAGAGACTTGAAGAACAGGGACCCTGAATGGAAAAAATTTAAATAATTTTTACGTTTTAAAAATAAATGAGGTTTAAAAATGGTAGTATTATACAGATTGAAAAAAACCCCGAAGGGCCAGTAAATGGCACTATATAGAATTCTTAAATACTGCATCAGTTCAAATGTAATCTGGACTGATAAAATCTCTCACAAAACAACTCTACAAAAAATACTATTTTTAAAATATTTAAGGTATTATATAACTTATGAGTGGTAGTTAATACGTAACAGAAAATTGTTGATTTTCTGTGATTATTTTTCATCAGAATACATGTTCAGGTTGACAAAAAAGAATCTAATGAGATCTCATCCAAGTGGCTTCAAGGGCCTAAAAGCCCACTGCTAGCACACTGTCCGGTTCTATGAGCTCATGTAACAAAAGCATGGCTTTGATAACATTACGCTTCATGATTTTATAGCTTATACATAAGTTAAACTTCAATAAATAATAGATTTTTCCAATATTAGTAATTTCATTATATGAGGTTCATACTGTGGTTCCTTGGCTAAGTCAGAAACATGTACAGAGCTCATTTGTGAAAAACTGGCAACACAAAGTCACGTTGTAAAAGAAGCTGGACAAAACCGGGTATACATAGAAGCAGCCTCACAGCACAACCTTTTAAATACAACACCATACAGAACTGCTATGAAACAGAAGTTTTACCCAAGTTCAAACTTAATTTGTAATTAGTTCCCTAAGAACTTTTTTTTTATTTTATTTAGTACATTTACTGTTTGATCTTTAATAAGCAGAAATGATTCTTAAAACATATAGAAAAAAATCTACAAACTATTAAAACACTATCCAACTTATTTGTCAATATGAGGGACTTTAGTAAACACAGGTCATCTATAATAATGCCCAAATTATGGCTGCATTAGTGAGTTTATGCTTTAATACCTACCAAGAAGTGGTGACATATTCTGAAATATACGAAGCAGCTCTGGTGTAATACATGGGCTGTTTTCCAAAGTCACTAACCTGGGGAAAAAAATTAAATCATTTTCTATAACCATTAAAGTTATTAACAATACAACTTAAATATTTAAAAAAACTGTCCCATTTAAAAGAAGAAAGATAGACAATATGAAGTCATAAAATTATCTAAAAATAAATTATAAAATTCATCAAAATTAAAAATTTATTACATAAATCATATAATATCATTTCTATATGCATGGCAAAAAGTGTAAGAAAAGTAACTACATTCTAAAATATGTATGCTTATAATAATAAAGCAAAAGTATGATTATGATAAATGGTCTGGAAGAGATAAAAATTATTTCAGTTTTTATTTTCTTGATACAGTTTTACCAAGTGTAATTAATGTGTCCCTTCAAAGAAACACTGGGCTAATTAGTGAAAAAAGTTACGTTAAATTTTTAATATGCGCTTAGTAAAATTTAATAAATATGAACAAGCAAATCTCAATCACAGTAATAACAATCTGAAAAAAATCAATGTATAAAAAATAAATTATATATGGATTGTGGTTTATCATAGAAGTGTACAGTTAGTTTATCTCCTCACACCACCTCTTCTACCCCCCCCAACAAAAAAAAGGTTAAAGAAAACCATGATTGTCACAGTATCTGCAAGGAAAGGGAGGGAGGGTCCTATTTGAAATGGAACATTCACTATAAAAACTCTTATCCAACTATAAGTAGGAAGGAACTTCCTTTACCTCATAAATGAGTACCTACCACTCACAGAAAACACACCTACTGACAATATGAATCTATTCTCTGGAAAAACAATAACATGCCGCAAAAAGCATCATCTATTATTCTGTCTACATTCACATCTGTTGTGTGTATGTGTGCAGAGCATCTTGGAAGGACTCTAGTATGATGAGCCAAGTAAGTTAATAAAAGATACAAAGGTAGGTATGAAAAAGTTAATGTCTTTATTCACCCAAGATATGACTGACAGAAAAGAGAGCGAAAAAGAATTCATAAACAAATTTCCCAAATTACTCTGAGTTCAGCACGATTGCTTAATATATCACTACACTGTAATTGCCTTCCTCTTCTCACCAGAAGTGAGTGACACAGATGGGCATTTTATAAACATGACAAGATGTGAAAACATAAAACACAACATTCAAAAATGCTGGCAACACAGGACACTGTAAATTATTGGTTACTTACCCCCATAAACCACTGTCTAGCATCACGCAAGAATATCCTACCACAAATTTCAAAGTATGGTTTCTAGTGAATGTGTATCACTTTCGCACCATCACAGAGTTGAAAAACATTAAGATGAACCGTGCTGAAATGCAGAGCTGGCTGCCTGCCACTTCAAAAGCCAATACTCTAAAGGCAGGTGCTAATATAACAAAAAGTGGTTTATTTAGATGCAGGCCATCTGGAAGCTGGGGGACTGTATCACAAAACCCATCTTCCCAGGAAGATGGGGGACACTTTGAGACAAGAGTCCCTGGGAAGATGGGCCTCTCGCATGTTAAAGCCCATCTCCCCATCTCAGTGGAGGCAGAGGTTTTTATAAGGAAGGAAAGGGAAATAGAACAAAGAGATCAAGGGAGGGGGTTTAAAAGCTTTTTGCGTGCAGATGAGCACAGTCCGTTCTGATAAGGACAGCAATGGTCCAGTGTGCATCATCCTGGCTTCACATCATCCTGCCCTTATGTCATCCTGGCTTCCCGGATGAAGGTCAGCAAACCTCCTGGAGCTGGGATGCCTCACAACTGTAGTCTGTATTTTTTGAAATTAGTTCCTAGGATTCTCACACAAACATGTTGTTTATCTATAAGCTATATCTTTGTCAGAGTCAGCATTTACAGAAATAATGTCAAAAGAATTGCAGGGTGGGTTGTAATTCCCCACTATTACACTTACCTACTGTTATAGAACCATTGTAAGTCACAGATACAAAAACCTAGCATCATGAAGATGGCAATTCTAAGTTGTTACGCAGAATGAATAAAATGTCAATTCAATTACCTATATGGCTTTTCCTGGAAATTAGGCAAGCTGATTCCAAAACTATGTAGAAGGCAAATGAGCAAGAACAAAAAAAATTTCTCAAGGAAACAAAAAAATACAGGGGTAGGGGAAGATACTTGCTTTACCAAATATTATGACTTACTATAAAACCACCATAATGAGTATCATAAACAGAATAGAAAGCACAAGAAATACAACTTTTTGCATATGACAGAAGAGGCTCCAAGGATAAGTAAGAAAAGGTGGACTGTCTACTTAGTATTTGGTGGTGAATCTCTAGCTCATACAAAATATAGAAATTAATTCCAAGACAGGTATGAGAAAGGTAAGACTTCACAAGATATCAAGAGAACATATTCATGGCTTTAGGTTAGAGAAAGATCAAAGAAAAAAAAATAAATATGACTACATTAAATTAACAATTATTGTATATCAAAAGATAACCCCCGAAAGCAAATACATGTATCACATATTGAGAAAAGGTCATTTGCAATATATATGAGGGAGGAGCCCCCTAAAAGCTGAGGTTTAAACATGTAAGAATACACAATGTTTTATAAATAAATAACAGTTTTGGGGACCCTCTTTGTAATAGACATAATAATATGCAAAGGAGTAATATCCAAAAGGTAAGAAGAGAAAAATGGACAGAACATATGACCAAGCATTTCACAGAATAAGATATAAACACTGGCAATAAACCTATTGGCAATAAACCTGAGTATAAAAAATATAGAAGATATGCAACTTGATTAATGCATAGGAAAACATGAATTTTACCAAAACAAGGTACAATTTTACACTCCCCGCCCCTCCACAATTAGCAGAATCTTTAAGTCTGATATACTGTGTATAGGCAGAGCTGTAGTACAATGAAGACAGGAGTTGTTGGGCTGGTATAATCACTATGTAAAATAATTATTGTCTGGTAACGCTGAATATGAATTCATGTGTATGTCTATGACCAAGCAATTACATTTCTAGGCAGAAGTGTACACATTGCATAAGATCTCATACATTTGTACTTGGAATCATGAACAAGAATGCTCAGCCACATCGTCTGAACATCAAACAAAATGCCAAATGAGTAGTGAATCTGTTACATATATTCACACCAATAAATTCATCAATATGGATAAGCCTCAAAACAGGGAGCCGAAACAGCAAGTCAGACATATTTAATACAATTTATATAAAGTTAAAATACTTGGAGATGCATATACATGTCATTTTAAAAAACATCAAAACATAAGAAAGAAAACCAAGTAATGAATAAAGAAAGAAAGAGAGAGAGAGAGAGAGAGAGAGGGAGGGAGGGAGGGAGGAAGGAAGGAAGGAAGGAAGGAGCGAGCAATAAGTTATCCCTGGTATGAAAACAGGATTCCACAAACATGCCACACCATGGGCTTCACAAAATCCTCACTGTTCCATTTCTTTTATGTTTTTTTTTTAGGTGTTCTTTATTTTTTTTATTTCTGCCCTTTTGCCTGCCTCCACCCTGCCCTTGTTTCTCCTCCCCTCTGGCCATTACTGCACTATTGTTTGTGTCTATGAGATATGCATATATGTTCTTTGGCAAAAACCAAATTTTCATTTTATGTAATGGAGAGTACTTTGAAGACAACTGAGGTTTAAACATGTAAGAATATATAATGTTTTATAAATAAATACCAGTTTTGGGGGACCCTCTTTGTAACAGACATAATAATACGCAAAGGAGTAACATCTAACGGTAATAAGAGAAAAATGGATGGAGCACATGAATAAGTTGTAATTACAGATAATATGAACTCTTTGTTTTCTTATATATGAACTATTTTACAAATTTTAAATGACAAAATCAAAGATGAAGGTGTGACAGGAAAAAACAGCTACCCACAAAATGAAGTTTTTCCCAAGTGCACAAGCAATGGTAGCCTAAGATACCTTACCATGACCAACAATTACAAAATTTGATTGAACTTTTAAAAAATAAAACTTCAGAAAAGATAAATTTATTCTGTTCACTTTTAAAATAACCAAGAAACCACAAGGAAAACTATGATCCACTCATGGTACTTCACTGAGAAAAAAAAAACAAAAAAAAAACTGAAGGGCATATTCTCAATTCCAGAAGATATTTAAAGGACCTACTTTGTCAACGGGTCCACATTAAGATTCTGTCTGAAGCCTGTTCCTTCTCTGCCACTGTCACTACCATAGTACAAAGGCCATCCCGGTTATCATCGCTCTCACTTCTATGTTAGTTTCCAAAGTATAAATCATGCCATTAAAATTTTTAAAAATAATCTTAAAAGAATTTAAACTACTTAAAAATAAAATTACATAATGTATATTTACAGATTAAACATGTAATAACTTGGAAAGGATATGGAAAAGAAGCAAACAAAATTAAAGCACTAAATTCTTTATCATCAAGGAAAGGGAAAGTTACTATTTTGATGAATAATTAGACAAAGCTATATGTACCAATATCTTTCACTAGAGAAATACAAAATTAAATGTCACCCTTACACAAAAATATAAAAAAGAGAAAACATAAAGAAAAAGAGAGACATATCAATTCAACAAATGTAAGAATACCGAAATTCTTTTAAATGTAAAGAATACCGAAATTCTTTTTTTAATGTTATATTAAAATACAAAATACAAAATCTACTCAGTGTAAAACACATAACTAAATTTCAAACAGCTAAATGTAAAAAAATAAAAAAGGATAGTTAAGTCAAATTTAAGCAAAATAAATAATTTGACAATATTAATACCAGATAAACTGAAACACAAAGGAATAGACAGAAAAATTAACCACTGTATACATAAATCACATACTTCATAAAAATATTTTAAATGTTAAATACTATATTAAATCTTTCAACAATATATAAAAGTACCAAAGTTTAATAAAATGAATATTTTAAACATACAGATCAAAAATGCCAGAAATAAAAAAAAAGGTCACAGACACAAAGAAAATTGAATGGGATACTTTAATAAATTAGTGTCAAAATGAAAAAGCAAAATAATAAAGTGAACTATTGTGAACTAACAAAATACAAGTTAAAAAACATATATATGCAAGTCTGCATCTTTAATACCATCATTATTATTTATGTGAATATATTACAAAAATGGAGGCTAGAAGTCATTAAAAACCACGTTAAATTCAGAAACTGTAGAAGTGACATATTGTATTTACAATGCAATAAATTCAGACCTGAATCATATACTTTAATATCAGCAAAAAGTAAGCAATGTTGGGTCAAAGAAGTTATGTTGCCAAAGTAAAAAACAGAATATTGTCTATCAAGAATTAGGAGAAAGAGGCAGTTATACTCCAAGACAGATTCAAAACTTTAAATGTTTTAGCACTTAAGAACAACAAAGGGAATAAACTAATCATCTGTATTACAGTTTTAAGAAAATATACTTAGAACTAACTGTAGGGAATAAAAAAGATCTGATGCAGAAAGTAAGTTAACAAAAGGAGAAAAACACAGAATTCATAAATCTAACATACAGTTCTTTCTTTAATAAGAAAAATCTCTAACAAATGTATTTTCAAAAAAGATAAAACAAAAATACAACTAAAACTAAGAGATAAAGCAAACATATATTAGGTTTATTTGCATCTTAACAGACTCAACGCCAAAATTAAGACATTGAAAAACAAAACCAAAATAAATATGTATAAACTAACAACTAAGAAACAACTTGAGAATGTTATAAAACTGTGATTAAGTTCCCAGACCTGCCAAGGACCCATTCCAGTTCCCTTTATTACTGAATTTTCAAATGATCCAAAAAATATTACCATATTACTGAGAACATTCCAGTATGAAGAACAAATTTCTAAAAATTGGTAAGTTGTTAAAGTAAATATAACCTCGATATAAAATCAGATAGTATGAAAAAAGTGTTGATTAGAGATGTAACTCATTTATAGAGGAAAAAAAAACTAACTGAAGCATTAGAAGAGTATTACAATACAGCGGGGGTGTCAAACTCATTTTCACCGGGGGCCACACATCGGCCCTGTGGTTGCCTTCAAAGGGCCAAATGTAATTTTAGGGTTGTGTAAATGTAACTACTCCTTAACTGTTAAGTGAGAGCTCCGCACTGCCACCAGTAGAAACAAGGTGGAGGGCCGGATGTGGCCCGTGGGCCTTGTGTTTGACACCTGTGCAATATAGTAAAGTATAATTCACCCTAGAGAATAAAGTTCATCTCAAGATGTCAAAGTTTTCTAAAGAGTGTTTTTAAAAATAAATAAATAAATAATCAGAGTAATGTGATCTCCTGAGGAAGATGGCAAAAAAGCCATCAAATTAGTTTTTTTTAATGATGAAGAACATATTACATATAATGGTACATAGCTGATGCTGGCCGTTTACCAGTATTCATGACCCCATTCTATTTCTTAAAAAAAAATTGTTCATGAAATTCTTTTATTTAAATTCTTTTAAAAACTATTTTATGTAATTATACACTTCTATTAGAAAATGAAAAGTTACTGAACTAAATCTTAGAATGTAGGTTAAATGGCAAAAAAAAAAAACACCCTAAAGCAAGTAGAACCAGGACATAAATATAAGAACAGAAATTAATAACTAGGAAACAAACATGCAACAAAGAGAATCCAAGCCAAAGGCTGGTTTTTTGAGAAGACTTACAGTGTTGACGAATCTCTGGCAAGATGGCTCAAGGCAGTTGGGGTGGGGGGTGAAGGGGAAGGGCAGGGTAGTGGGGAGAGCATTTAAAAAAAATCACTGTCCTGATTGATGTGGGTCAGTTTGTTGGTTGGGCTGCGTCCCACAAAGTGAAATTCCTAGTCAGGGCACAAACCTGGGTCGCTGATTAGGTCCCCAGTTGGGGCACACATGAGATCAATGTTTCTCTCTCACAATGAGGTTTCTTTCCCTTTCTCCCACCTTTCCCCCTCTCTAAAAATGAATGAACAAAATCTTTTAAAAAACAAAATAATTTAAAAAATCAATTAATAAGTCTGAAGTTTCATTTTATATACCTGACCACAAACATCAGCTGCTACTGGTTATCCCTAGCAAGTTCAAATTCCCATTCTCCAATATAAAGATGTTATTATACCTTTGCTCCCCGCAAACCTCTCATTATCATTATACGCTCCCACTCTATTCCATGATACTCAGCTGATGACTACTTTTGTTGAGAAAAACAAGCTAACAGATGGAACACCTACCTATCTCATTCCACTACAATACAGAGTCCATCTTCCTGCCTTTGGTTAAAACAGATGAAGTATTCCTGCTGCTATTTAAAAAAAAAATCAACCCTCTACTTGTGCTGAATCCCATCCCTTCTTGCCTTCTTCAATTATCTCTGTTGGCGCCTCATCAATCCTTCTAGACCTTGCATCCCCCATACCAGCCAGCTGATGCCAGATTTCTACATTCCTCATCACAGTACAAGTTCTTAAACAGGTTGTCAGTGCTCACAGACTGTACTTCTTAGCTCCAATTTGTGCTTCAGTCTCCTCCAATTTTATCTTTTGTTCTAATTACTCCACTGAAATCCCTCCTAACATCTCCATGTGGCCAAATTCACTGTTATGTGCTGCTCCCACTAGGACAATCAGTGCGGCTGATGTAGATGACTGCTCCCACTTTTAGGAAATAGTATCCTCTTGGCTTGGTATTCCTCCTATATCAGTAGACAGCTCTTCTCTGTCATCTTTGATGACTCCTCATTCGACCCCTAAATTTTATAAATTCTTTAGAATTTTGCCCTGAGCTGAAATGTTCTCTATCTGCGCTTCACTTCCTAAGCAATCTCATTGATTATCAGGCTTTAAATATTACATACAAAATACTAACCACTTTACAAACATTACCTCAGCCTCACAACACCCATGTGAAGTACAGATGAAGAAACTGAGGCTCACAGAAGATGATTACAAGCCTAGTATAGTGGTATAATTGGGGGTTAACACCTGTATCTGAGTCCAAACAAGTTCTAATCCATATACCCAAGCACACACACACATATACATATGTATACACATAAACATAAACACATATATACATATATACTGATACTTTAAAGAATTTTAGCTATTTTAATAAATTTGGTAAATTTTAAAAAATGTATTATAATCTGTTTACATGTAAATAAAGGCTAGGAAAAAAGAAATTACCATTAACAGGGCAATTCACTTTTATTATTTACTATTCATATAATCTATAAAAAGTTTACACACCTTTACTAAAACCACATTAATGTACTAAGTCTGCAATACTGTAAGTATCTTAGTTGGTCTCTTTACTAAAACTAATATTTTACATTTTTCTACCCATCAGTATCATTTGGTATCTACATGTTTATATGCCAGAGATTGTTTTAATTTGTAATCTAGATTAGAAGCTGGAAAACTACAGCTCATGGGCCAAATTAAACCCATATCCTATTTCTGTAAATGGTGTTTGATTGGAGCAAAGCCATGTCATATCCATTTGTTTACATATTATGTATGACAACTGTTGGTCTAAAAGCACTAGTTGAGAATAGTTGGGACAGAAAGCTGCATAGCCTGCAAAGCCTAAAATATTTACCATCTACTCCTTTAAAAATAAAATTGCCAACCTCTGATCTAGAGTAATCCATTCTATGCAAATGAAAATATATGACTATAAATGTGTCCAACACACGCTAATTTATAATCAGATGATCCAGAGGTCATTTAACTTAGAGCAATATAATATAGAAAATAAGAAAAACACAAATTGCAAGTAAACACCTACCTAGTTATGCTTTAAATTCATACATCTTGTATTCTATACAGATAATGAACTTATAATTTGCATCAAAGATAATTTCTAAGAATCAAAAAACTGTTCAATCCTAGACAGCTAAGCAAAACTAAGAAAATAAGGGAAGGAGAGAAGAAGAAAAACAGGGAAGTCCTAAGTATTAATTTTTTCTATGGTTATTAATTCTATATGATTAATTTGTGATTTGCTTTTTTCATTCTAATATCAGTTTATACATTGGAATTTTTAAACATTTCCTGTATTATAAACTATATTTTAAATAGAGATTGCTGCCATTAGCACAGTAAGCTTAATAAAGCAAAATGATTTTCTAGCACAGTTCCTTACCGTTTGTGGCACTGAGCTGCCAGAAGAAAAGCTTTTTATGGTGTTTTTTTTTTTTTAACCTCTTAACACTACATATTACTCAGTAAAATAATAACTCAAGTGTTTGCTTTGGCAGCACAAATACTAAAACTGGAACGATACAGAGAAGATAAGCATGACCCCTGCGCAAGAATGATACCCAAATTCATGAAGTGTTCCATATTTTTAAGCATTAAGGAAAAAAAATAATAGTAACTCAAGACTAAGTAGCACTAACATTTGGGGCTAAGGCATAACCTCAGTAGTAGTAAGGTAGTAAGTGGTTGAAAATAACTCAACAATCCCCCAAAAGTCTCATTTAACACATTGGGAATTTTAAGTAAATTTTTAATTTTGAAAATTTATCAATATCCAAATTTTACATTCCAAATTCCATAGATGAAATGTAGCTGATTTCTTACTGAAACTTCCATTTTAACTCTGACTATTATAAGCCTACACTGAGTGACAGCTACCAAGAAAAGATGGAGCTATTATTTTACCCACTTTGGGGAAACTGGTTTTATGTTTTTGTTTTTCAGTGTTGAGTTTGTAAGCCCTAGGACATGTCCTTTGCTTTACTGGCATGAGAGTAAGGAAGGCCAGGAAAAAAAAATAAGAGTCACGGTATCAAGTTTTTCTTCTTACCATAATTCTAAACCATCTTCCAGAAGATAAACATGTGGAGGCTGGGAAACATCTGTACTCAGTTGAATAACTGGGAGCAGGAAAGGGTACAGGTTCTTGCTGTCTGCTCCTAATCCCTATGGGAAGTATAAATGAAACTTAATGTAAGACACTCTAAGGTCCCATCCCCCACCAAAAAAAATTCACCTATCATATATGAAAGCCCTAAATATAACTTACAAAAAATAAATCAGATTTTAAAGGTTAGCCCTAATTAGAAGCATTACTAAAACAAAGTTAATTCTGTTTACAATTAGAAAGCAGTAGCAAAAAAATACTATTCAATTGCTTAATGGTAGTAAAACCATATATATCAAACCACATCTGTTTGTTTAAAGAGATTCCATTTACAGTATTTTCCCATTTCTGACTAATGAAGAAGTGTTAACACTGAAATACTAACTCCTATAAATTATGTCACCTAAATAACTAATCTAAAATAAACCTAACCTAAATGTTCACCAATAAGATAATTAAATTATGGTACATTAATAATCTAGAATACCAAATAGCTATCGAAAAGGATTAGACATGGAACGAAAGCAATTTCAAACGAATTATCAACTGGATTAAAAAGGTACAGAAGTGTGTATAACAAATGTAAATGCCAAAAAAACTTTAAATAGCTACATTTCTAAATATGCAGATATGTTAACACAAGATAAATATGGAAAGGGGAAAAGAATGTTGGAAGAGGATAAAGGAGTTTATTTATTTATTACTTTTCTGTAAGCTTTTTAAAAATATGTACACATTAGTTTAGTGAAGATATTTTATTAATATTTTTAGAGCAAAAAACACAAAGAGGAACAGAGGGTATTTTATCTGAAATTCTAGTTTGCCTAACTGCTGTCTTGTGAAGGATGACTACATACATACATGTATCACACTAAATCTCATTCTGAAAGAAAACTAGAAGGATGGAAAATCCATTTCTAATCCATAATGATCTCTATAATCTGACAAACATAGAAATGAAATCAAATAAACTATCAAACACCTTGCTTAGGAAATAATCAAATGTCAACACAGAGTGTAACAAATTACAGTGCAACAATATATATGTATTCCCCCCTTTTTTGAATTAAAGAGACATCTTTACTTTTAAAAACATGTATTCCCTTTTTGATGACATATCTATACTAAGTTCAACCTTTATCAGAACACAGACACTTCAGTGGAAATACATCAAGCTTATCCTTAAATATTAAGTATAAGTTTGGCCTCTTTTATAACTAAAAATAAGGTGAAAGACCCTTATTAAAGATTTTTCCAAAGAAGAGGATTATAAAAATTTCACATTTAATAAAGTAGCAGTATATTGGGTCTAAAATTCAGTTAAAATTTCACTCTCCATAGCTCAATATTTAACTGAAGAAAAAAGAACATTAAGACGGACTAATCAAGTTCATACTGATTGTCAAGGAGGCTTAAAATTCCCTAAGAAAATCAGAATCTATCTACTTAGTGCACATTCCAGCAGCACAATGTCCTAGTACCAGCAGAACTAAGGACAGCACAGCTAAACACTGAGGACTCTCGCTGTCAAATCCTAAAGAGATTCACCTTTATAATCTGGTGGCCTGAAAAACACGCACAATCCCAGATATGCAGCTTTAAGTTAATTTGAACATTCTTTTGGCTCATGGTTATAACTACAAGACATTGCCTACAATACTGTGAGGGCTCAAAAATAAATTTATCAGCTATTTATAAAATTATCAGAAATGCTTAAAGGAGGAAAATCATATTGTACTATAATTACCTAAGATGTAAGGGGAAATTAGGTGAAGGACACAAGGGAGTCTCTCTGTACTATTTGTGCCACTGCCTGTGAATCTCTAATTTTTTTTAAGTGAAGAGGGAAAAAAGAATAACACCCTAGAAAAACTGGCATTTCTTGGGGCACTGCCTTCAGCTCTCTTCTCATGTCTCATATATAACAGGTCCTTGAAAAACTTTGTTTCATTATAACATTGATGAGATGCTGTAGGAACTTACCTCTTATTTACATCAATTAGCTTAGGACTTACTACACATGCTGATAATGGCCAAACTTATCTCCAACCCAAATCTCGGAACTCTCTGAATGACTGTAGGACAGGGGTGTCAAACTCATTTCCACCGGGGAGGGGAGGGGGCCACATCAGCCTTGAAGTTGCCTTCAAAGGGCCAAAATAATTTTAAGACTGTATAAATGTAACTACTCCTTAACTGTGAAGGAATTGAAATCAACATTCAGCCCTTGAAGTCAACTGCAAGGCTAATGTGGCCCCCGGGTTAAAATGAGTGACACTCCTGCTACAGGACATCATCACCCAGAAGGCATCTCAAGCTCTTAGGTCTACCACTAAACCAATCCCTTGTCTTCTTTAAAAAAGAGTTCCTTTTCCATATTTCCTAATTTATGTGAGATGAACCAATACTTCCCTAGTAATAAATTATATTGCAACCACCTCCTGGTTCCTCTTCCTCAACTCACATCTAAATAACCCCGAATTCTCATTCTCTCTCTCTCTCTCTAATAATTTTCAAATCGTGTCCTTTCTCCCCAAGGCTTTACTTCAGGTTATCATTTCTTTTATGGGTAACACAAAGGGTTCCCAACTACTTTCCCTGACCTTAGTTTTACCTCATTCTGAGCCAATGACCCCACTTGGTACCCTGATTACCTTTCTAAAATAAAAATGGTAACACTCCTTTCTCTCAGCATCAAGATAGGTTCTTTACAACTACCTGACCAGACCACCACACCCAAGCTCTATATTCTAAGTTCCAGCTCTGCCAACAGCTCAGCATTAGAAATAACTATGTTACTACCTGGAGAAAGTTGGTAAATTTAACCTATGCACTCATAGGTTCTCAGCGAAGATCCCCTAATAGAATACAGAAGTATCTGTTTTTAAAGACCTATAACTGTTAAGTACAAAGACAGCATAAAAAGATAAAAGCATCACATTTTTGAAAGCTGGAAAGAAAGACAAGTGGTTACTGACTTAGCAGACTCAGAAAACCAAATCTCAAGGCCAGTAGTGAAAAAAGGACAACAAGCAGCCTAATTTACATGACAGAAACTCCAAAAGGCTCAGAAATTGACAGCACCAGATATTGGTGCTACCAATTGATATTTTGGCAAGGAGAAGGTTGTAAGAGAGGTGTTAAAAATAAGACACCCTCCAGAGGTGTCTTATCAGCCTTTGTATAGCCGCACAAATAAAAACACGAAATAGTGACTTAACTTAAAGTATAATATAACTATACTGGAAGAATGAGAAAATAGAAGTTACAGAGAGGGGAATGAAATAACTAAATTTTCATCCTCTATAAGGGAAGTCAAGAGAGAATGCCTACAAATTTTAAATAAAGAATGAATATAAGTATGTTATTTAGAGCTAGAGAGATAGAAAGCCTAAGGAACTGGGTTATACGTGTTGAAAGCGGATTCCCTTCCAACAAACAGGAAGATACTGCTACTTTTCATAAAAAGTCTTCAAGAACTGACTCCTTAACCTAACATGAAAAGCTGATCAATACACAAACCTAAAAAGAAGAAACAAAAAGTGCCACATTCTTTCACACTGATGGGGCTTTACACATGCTGGACAATTTGTTTTAGAATATCCTTACCACTCTCACCCTGCACCACCACCTCCTTAACACCTCTTCTTTAACATTATTTCACACCAACACTATTTGGTAACAGCCTCCTCTAATGTCCCTCCTCCTCAATTCCCACCACAGGCCCACAAAACACCATGTTTTTACTGCTAAAAGAGCACTTAACTCTTTAATCTGCACCTAGACAACCACATTCACAAAGAGCTTGTCCTATTCACTTCTGTATCCTTGTGCCTAGTACCATGTATTGCATATTGCAGGTGTTTAAAAATGTTTACTGTATGAATAAATGCCTACTTCCACTAAAGCCAACTACTGCAAACTAGAAAATTTATTTTCAGTCATTATTACACTCCCCCATCAGAAACCAGAGTCTGAGTTCCCAGAATTTAAAACAAAACAAAAACATACAAATATTTACACTAATATCTGCCTGTTAAATTTTAAGTCATAAGATGGCAGTGTTTTCCATGAAAAGAAACTTACCCAGTAACCCTTAGTACAATCTTCTCAAAAGACTGAAAAACCTATTTAAATTACAGTCTCAATTTTATTACTAAATGTTATATGCTTTTTCCCAAGAAGGGCAGTGATTGCTTGGCTGGAACCCTGCACCCCTGGCCTACACAGGGCACTTAAGTGTCATGTAAAGGAAAAGCCCTGCACACTCCCAACGTTCCATGCGGGTTACTCTGGCTCCCTAGGATTTCCTGAGGCAACACAGGCTGAAAAGACAGGGAAGCTGAGTTTTTCCCCACACATTCCTCCTAAAGTTCTCAAACTGAGTCTAAAAACACATAATGCAAAAGATGGGGGGGGTCATTCTTTACTCTGTTACTTGCAAGAGCAATCTCCGGCTAGTCACTAAACTACCTCTTAACATTCATACCCTTACAAATAAAAGAAATATAATCTTTCAGGATAATCACAAGAATTAAAGGTTAGACCAGAAGAGATGCTAGGCCAGACACTACACTTAAAAAAAAAAAAAAACTGTATTGCTATTAATGTATCTAAAACTGCTTTAGATAAAAATTTGTAACTATAAACCTCATCTATAAATATTTACTGAAAGAATGAGTTCATGCTTCAAAAGTGTTAGGGTGCCTGAAAAAGGTTTTTCTAAGCTATTAATAGAAAAGGTTTTTTAAAAACATACTAGACCACTTTAGAGCAATAATTCTTAATTTAGAGAAAGAGATCTCCCACTGGAAAATCTATCAAACTCTGGGAGCAAGGGCAGTAAAAATCACTGCAGCATCCCTAAACCAGAAATATTCAAGCATTAGGTACTTTTCTCTCTATAATCTCTCCAACAGATGATAATTCACTTTAACAGTTCAAATGAGAACTGGAGTCCCATTCTTTCTCTCTGAAGTTTAGGTTCCTCTCTGTCTGCTGCACATCCCAACACCTCAGAGTCAGGATGTCTAAAATTAAATTCATTCCTCCCCTCAAAAGCAACTCACCTGTTCTCCTGCTTTCTGATTTATGACAGGGAAATCTTTTATTTTAAATTAAGGAGAAGCAGTGAAAATGAAGAACAAGTTTATGCAGAAAAGCCCTGAACACCAAGAAAGCTATCTGCAAGGTACAATGGATTGCACAAATTATGAGTCTACCATCACGGGGAACCACTACATCTAATGAAAGAAATTGTTTTTAAAAAGTAGAGAAAATTTTTCAGGTGTCAAAAATGTCCAAAGTAAAAAACATATATAAGATGTTTTTGAAACTGTTTAGATCACACATCATATGTAAAATGTGAGGTCTTTCACTACCATTAATATAAACCACATGAAAATAATGAACATTTTTAAAGAAGAAAAAATACTAAACTAACACACTGTGGAGAACTGTCTCACCTGAACAAGATGAATAAGTGTTGTCAGAATAGCACATCTCAACATATTGTGTTCTTCACTCTGCTTCCAAAGAAGAGGCAAATATTGCACCAAACATCCTACATACGGCCGTATCTATCACAACAGAAGTAGGGACAGCAGAAGAACTGTATTAATAAAAAGGCAACTTACTTCAAGAGACAATGACAGACCTAATTAAGTAACAGACAGAAAATACTTAATATTTACTGCATATGATGTAGTAAGCATATATTATTTTGAAGATAAATCAGACATTACAAAGAGACACAGAGAACCATGGTAAATATTTTTAAACAATCTCAAACAATTACCAAATGTATTACATGAAATAAAATTTAGGAATATAAAAAACATATCAAGGCCAGTTATTTCACAGTTTAATAGAAAAATGCTGTTATATCCTGGTTCTACCTTAATAAAACAGCTTAACTGGAAATTCACTATTTTAAAAAGAGTCAGCATTTACCCATTCACTCGATAATTATCTGCTGGCATCTTCCAAACATCAGGTCATGAGTACAAAGCACCCAAAAGAAAAGGATATAAAGGTAGACACACAAACCCTTACGATGAGAAAGGGTACGTGCAATGGTGAAGGTGTGCATGAGGTATAGGGGAAACACAGGAGAAGAACGTCCTTTTGAAAGGAAAAAACTGTTAAGCCCACTATACATTAAGTTAACCAATTTTAAAAATACACCCTGAAGCCCACAGCGCAGCTTGACAGTGAGCTGCTTCCTGGACAATAAAGTGGATCTACACTGCAGCTGGACAGTGCTCCAGCTCTAGGTCTATGGTCACAGTATTTGGAACTGCTCTAACGAGAGCCCTAGCTGAGAAAACAAATAGTAGATATTCACAGCTTCAATATTATCTATTTCAAGCCCATGAGTAAAAATTAAAAACTGCTCCCAGAGTGAGTGTTTCTTTATTCTGTTTATAAAACAGCATACACTAAAAAAGTATCAAAAAACTGTAGAATTTTGTGTATCCCACCAAGGGGAATGTACAGAAAAATATGTTAAATATTTGTTCAAATAGTTCAGAGAGGTAAAATTGAGTATTAAAAGACTTTACTTATATTACCTTATTTTCAAATTTGGAATCAAACTACTATAATAGATAATATGTATTGAGCACTTCATTTTGCTAAGTGCTCTATCTCAAAGAACACCGAGATAAGCTTATACAACCATACCAATTAATATGTAAAAATACAGTTTTCAAAATACCTAACTCACTCATACTCATCTAAAAATAACATGCTTTACTAATAAGGAAAAGAAACCAAATAGAATCCTTTTCAAGGAATGGCAGAAAGGAAGTATATGCTATGAATTACAGATAGAGTAGATAGTAAAACCCATGTACCCAGTTACATTTGAAAGTCATAAAGTATTTTTATCCCAATCTTCGATGTTCATTAGAATATATGATGTTCTAAATTAGAACTAATGCTCCAAAATGACTATTTCAGAAATCACCCACAGAATCACTACTGCAAAAGTCCAAAAAAGGGCTGGGGATTAGAAAAGAGTAGTAACATAAGAGTCAAACACATACACTATTAGGCAAGGGTGAAGGAGGTCAAAAAGTATATTACTGGGGCAACTGAGGAATCTGAATATGCTCTGGAGATTAGACAACAGTGCTAAATCAATGTTAAGTCCCCTGACTCTAATCATGGCTTCAATTAAGATGGACAGGTCTAGTATTATGGAGTGAAGTGTCATGATGTTTGCAACCAAAATTCAAATGGTTTAATTTTTAAAAATATGTATAAGCACATATATCAAAGAAAGACCAAGTGTGGTAAAAATGTTAGTAACTGATGAAACTAGGTAAAGGATGTAGAGGCAGTGATTTGCTGCAACTTTTCTGAATTTTTCTGGGAGGTCAATAGCAATTACTTGTTTAATATTTTAAAAATACATGGATTTAAGAATGCTTTATAGATATTGGGCTAAATAATAATAAGCCTACAACATAAACTGAACAATCAGCATAACACAATTGAGATAAAGACTATGAATATTAGTCTTTTAAGTTAGTTCATCAAATATGGAGAAATACCCACTTTCATCCATAACACATTAGTAAAAACATGAAAATCACATATGTGACAGTATAACAAATGTTCTAAGAAATGGTTACATCCACGACGGGCATTTAAAAAATAAGTTTCTAATGACAGCTCATTTTTTGGATAGCATTTTCAACAGAATATTTAATATTACACACAGTTCCTTATACTTTATTCTCTTCCTTTGGGAATGCTTAAGTTCTAAGACTGCCTAATTTCATACCTGATGATTACATTTTTTTTTCTGACTATGTATTTATAGGATCCTTGCACTTAAATAACTTAAGGTTTTCAACTACTTTTTCAAAAAAGTAGACAAAATTTCTTCAAATAATTACATACTATGGTATAAATATGGTGACTTCATTGAAACTTCAAAATTTAAATATTATGTGTCAGGAAGCATGGTGCAAGACATTTCAAAACATATGCAACCTAATGGGTAAAAATCAAATTTAGTACATAAGATTATGTAAATAATGGTGTTATTCAAAGGTTAATGTAAGAAAAAGTTAAACAATGAGATCACTAAAAATGTTTTTTTGTAACCATTTCCTATCCAACTTCTGAAAACAAAAGTATTACTAGATAACTATATCTTGTTATTTACTTATGATGTAGTCACCTGAGCTACTTAAGTCAATTGTGTTCTGAAAGATGAGTACGGATAGAAACACAAAAGCACTTAAAACTTACTAAGAAAGAGAAATTTCAAACCTTTGGAGAAGAAGGTTTAGTTAGAAGTTTGGAAAGATGAAGGTAAGAAAATTCATTTCTATAAAAAAAATCTCAAAAAATATTGTATTTAGCTGGATGATATCTAATAAGGATTATTACAAATTGTCAAATTGTTTCTAGTCAACTTTTTTATTTTTAAAAATAACTTAATTATTTATTTTTAGAGAAAAGAGAAGGGGGGGGGTAAGAAACATTAATTGGTCGCCTCTCTCATGCCCCCAACTGGGGACATAGGTCACAACCCAGGCACGTGAGCTGACTGAGAATTAAACCAGGGACTTTTCAGTCTAAGGAAGGATGCCCGACTCACTGAACCACACTGGTCAGGGCTGTAATCAATTTTTTAAACACACAACAATTTACTGTAATTGCATAGTGATCTGAAGTATACTGGACATTTGTAATAATTTCATATTCACGAAACATGATGAGCCATGTGAGCTCAGAATTATCTTTACCATTCATACATGGAGACACAGGTTAATCACCTTGCCCAAGCTACTAAACTTACTGGCATGATCACTTTGTAAGATATATAAATGTCTAATTGCTACAGTGTATACTGCTAATTGATATGTCAACTATAACTGAAAAAGGATTTTAAAAATAAAAATTAGGACTTCTGGTCAAGATGGCAGCATAGGCAGACATGGTTCACCTCCTGGTACACCATCAAATTTACAACTAAAAATACAGAAAAACCATCACTCAGAACCATCAGAAATGGAGTTGAAAGGAAGTCTGACAACTACACAATTAAAGAAACCACACATCCACCCAAATTGGTAGGAGGAGTGCAGACGCTGGAAAGGCTGGTCCCTCATGCACAGGTGATGGATAAAAATTTGGAGGGATAACTTGGGAGCAAGGAGTCCTAGCCCCACACCAGGCCCCCCAGCCCAGGGTTCCAGTGCCAGGAAGGTAAGTTTCTACAACTTTTGGCTACAAAAACCAGTGGGGATTGGGTCACTAGAAGAAACTTCTGGAGCCCTCAGCAGTTCCTCTTAAAGAACCCACACACAGAATCACCTATTCAGACTCACTACCTCTGACCTCCAGCACCAGGATAGCAGCCCAAAAGGCACTGGTGGTGTACAGGTAGAAACTGAAGTGTCTGTCATCAAGGTGAGCAGAGGCCATGATCAAGTTTCTATACCCTCCCCCAAGACAGCTAGCTGGTACCATATCTGAGACTCCATCAACCTGACTAACACTGTTTGACCCACCTTGAAGATCACCAGAGACTCTGCCTGACCCAACTTACAGGTCCACCCAAGCTGCTTTTCCATATGAATAGCTGGTCTTGGCGCATGCTTCACAACTTCCTAAATCCTATAAAACAAGCAACAGCTGGCCTCAGTGAACCCAGGGCCCAGCACTAGTAGCAGCCAGCTGAGAGTCACAGCTTGGCTTTGCCTGGAAATCTCCCAGCCCAGCACAAGTAGCAGCCATTTCAGATTGCTTTATAGCTCAGGCAGGATGGTCCCGGGCAAAACACAGGTGGGAACTGATCTTAGCCTGCTCCAACTGGGAAATCCCAGGGCCAGCCTACCTAGTGGACAACTACAGACCATGCTGGAGCACAACCACCCTGCCCTCCCCACTGTACAGCTGATCCTCCACAGAGGGGAAGGTTGGTGGTAAGTGGTCAGTCTATCCTTGCAGCTGACTGGCCTGGGTAAATCCCTCCTATTGATCTGTTGACAGCAACCAAAACTCACCTACAAGAGGAGGGTGTACTCAGCAACCAAAAGGGCACACCAGCAGAGGTGATAGGGGAGGCTATGCCACTGGACTCTACAGGACACCTACTATGTTGGGACACACTACCAAGACAGAGAGCCAAAGCAGTTCTACCTAATACATAGAAACAAGCACAGGGAGGCTGCCAAAATGAGGAAACAAAGAAACGTGGACCAAATGAAAGAACAGACCAAAACTCCAGAAAAATAGCTAAATGAAATGGAGATAAGCAATCAATCAGATGCAGAGTTCAAAACACTGGTTATAACAATGCTTAAGGAACTTAGCGAGGACCTCAATAACATAAAAAAGACCCAGAAATGAAGGATACACTAATTGAAATAAAGAACAATTTACAGGAAAACAACAGTAGAGTAGATGAAGCTGAGAATCAAATCAATGATTTGGAACATTAGGAAGCAAAACACAACCAATCAGAACAAGAAAAAAAAAGAATCCAAAAAAATGAGGATAGTATAAGCAGCTCTGGGGCAACCTCAAGAGGTCCAACGTTCAAATCATAGGGGTGCCAGAAGGAGAAGAAGAGCAGAATTTAGAAATCTATTTGAAAAAATAATGAAAGAAAACTTTTCTAATTTGGTGAAGGAAAGAGACATGCAAGTCTAGGAAGCACAGAGTCCCAAACCAGATGAATGCAAAGAGGTCCAGTCTAAGACACATCATGATTAAAATGCCAAAGGTTAAAGAGAAAGAGAGAATCTTAAAAGCAGGAAGAGAAAAGAAGTTAGTTACCTACAGGGGAGTTCCCACAAGACTCTCAGCTGATTTCTCAAAAGAAACTTTGAAGGCTCCAAGGGCTGGCAAGAAACATTTAAAGTCATGAAAAGGAGTGACCTACAGCCAAGGCTGCTCTACTAAGCAAAGCCATTATTAAGAATCAAAGGGCAGATAAACAGCTTCCCAGGCAAAAAAAAAAAAAAAAAAAAAAGAAACTAAAGGAGTTCCTCATCACCAAACCATTATTACATTAAATGTTAAAGGGACTTATTTAAGAAAAAGAGCAGAATCAAAACTATGAACAATAAAATGGCAAAAAATACAAATCTTTCAACAACTGTATCTAAAAAACAAACTAAGCAAACAAGAGAACAGAGACAGAATCATGGACACAGAAAGTGTTTTTTGATGGTTACCAGACTGGGGGGTTTAGGGGAACTATGAGGAGGTGTGGAGATTAAGTACAAATCGGTAGTTACAGAGTAGCCATGGGTATGTGAAGTACAGTATAGGAAATGGAGTAGCCAAAGAACTTACATACATGACCCATGGACATGAACAATGGTGTGGGGGTTGCCTGAGGGAGTGCAGTATGCTGGGTGCGGGGGGGGGGGGGCAAAGGGGGAAAAGTTAGGGCAACTGTAATAGTATAATCAATAAAATATAATTTAAAAAATAAAAAAATTATAACTAAACAATACAAAATATTTTTAAAAACATGTTACCCAAGAAAAACAGCAGAAACAGGAACTCGAAATGAGCTTAAACATGGTTTTAATGACAAACCCTCTCAATATCACTTATAAACCAATACCTAAATGAAATGATGTAATTAATGTAATTAGAACCCTAAGTGCTTTGAAAAGTGTTAAGTTATTACTACTTTTATGCACCAGTTCCAAATCTACTAAAAATGATTGCAAATGCCTCCAGACTGCCACTGGGATTGCATAATGTTGAGTGTGAATACTAGCAATGTCACTAAGACATCTGGACTTTATATTCCTTAAAATCTGAAATTGTTTAAAGTAAATTCAAAACTCCTACCCAAAGGTTTCTGTGAGGATTAAAAGAGAAATATACTCAAATCTCTTGGCACAGATGCTGGTAACTTGTTATCACTCAATAATTGAGAGCAATACTCATCAACTGCTTTATAATGAATAAATAGGCCCAACACCAGAACTCAGTAACAGATGCGGAAACAGTCTCCAAGTCTGTGGACTCCAACTATGTCATCCTTCCCTAATACCTCATATATTCTCTCAGTGCTTTTCAAACCAGAATATGGTGAACTAGGACATAAGAAATTACATGGTAACTACAGTGTGATTTCCTGGGTTATCAATTTTTCACAAAGATTAGGAGTGACAAGGGAAGCTAAACAATTGGACAGTTAAATAAAAATTTAAATGTTAAAACCTTTACATACTTTACGTTAATTCAAACATAGATATAATGTGCAATAGATCACAAAACAATTATTAAGGTAAAAATAACAGACTTGCTAGAATATTTATATTTGCTCACAGACACTTGTGGCTAAGCCCTCAAGCACACTGTACTTTAACAAGTGTTATTAACTATAAACTGAATTTGACAAGAGACATAAAATTTTACTTTCTAAACACCTATACATTACTGGTTCAATTTTTAAATTTTAAGTCATTTTTTAAAATTTGAAGTATAAACATGTCAAATTTTGAACATATAACTGATATCACAACTCATAAATTAGAAGCATTTTAATACATGTTTTTTCTTCTAAACAATATATAAAAATCCATTAATGAATTCTACATATACTCTACTTACCTCTCTAACATTTATTTTCATGATTTAAAACAGAATTACCTGCATGTTGACTCTTTCAATCACACAAGAAAGGACATGTAAAACATGCATCTTTGTGTCACATTCTGTAACTTGCTGCAATAACTGAAAAAGTAGTGTGAACATAGTTTCCAAGTACTGCAAGTCAAAAGGGAAAAAAAAGGTTTGAAATAGAAATGTGAGATCTTTCCACACAGACAGAAAATAATGTCAAAGCAAAAAAGACAAAACCTTAGAATTACCTAAACACCTTCAAATTGTTCCAGTTACCGATTTTAGTGACTGTTTTCTTTAATGCTGCTAAATGTATCTGGTTTAGAGAATTTAACTCACCCACAATGTTTTCATATGAAAATTGGGTCTAACATTTTGTGTTTGAATTTTATACTGCTAAACTGTTAACTGTGCCTTGTCACGCCCTTCCACATATGCCTGCTGGTGTGCACGGTCTAAGCATCAGAGCGACAAGAACACCAACTATGGCACTCACATACCATTGCCTGATGTGGCCCTTACACATGCTGCATGGAGATACAAACTTTTATAAATAAATTCTTGTAACTCTAAAAATAACTGAATACCTCTTATTCAGAAATAGAAAACAAGTATCCTATGTCTGGCAATTAAAGCCTATATTATAAAAAGCATAGCAAGAATTAAGAAATAGCAGATACCAGATACATAAAAAAAACACTTGTTCTTTCAGATATTTGGTTCGTTTTAATACAGATTTCTTAAACATATTTCTTTCATCCAAAAATATCTAGTGATTCCCTTTTAAAGAAGAATCTCTGACTACAAGTTTGCCCACAATAAATATAGACATTTTATCACATAATTTTCTTTCTTTTTTTTTTTCTGGCAGGGCCAATATACATGAGCTATTTATTAATTTTTTAAATTAAATTTATTGGGGTGACATTGGTTAATAAGATTATGTAGGTTTTGAGTGTAGATTTCTACAATATATGATCGTAATGTTGTCTTCGTCTATGACTTTCAGTTTTAGACCCCAAATATGAGTGGAATCATATGGTTCTTAGCTTTTTCTAACCGACTTATTCACTCAGCACAATATTCCCAAAGTTCATCCCTGTTGTGGCAAATGGCAGTATTCCATCTTTTCTTATGGCTGAGTAGTATTCCACAGTATAATGTTTACTATATCTTCTCTACCCAAACATCTATCAAAGGACACTTGGGTTGTTTCTATGTCTTGGTTCCCATGAACAATGCTGCAATGAACATAGGGGTGCATAAATCTTTGTGAATAAATGTTTTCAAGATTTTCTGGTAGATACCCAGAAGAGGGATTACTGAATCGTATAGTAATCATATGGTAACTCTATTCTTAACTTTTTGAGGAACTGCCATACTGTTTTCCGTAGTAGTTCTACCAGTTTACAATCCCACCAGCAGTAAGAGTTCCTTGTTCTCCACAACCTCTCCAACAGTTGTCATCATTTGTCTTATTGATAGTGGCCACTCTCACATGTGTGAGGTGGTGGCCCATTGTAGTTTTGATTTGCATTTCCCTAACAGCTAGTGAAATGGGGCATCTTTTCATTTATAGGTTGGCCATTTGTATGTCTTCTTGGGGGAAGTGTCTGTTCAGGTCCTCTGCCTGTTTTTTAATGGGACTGTTTGTTTGATGTTGAGTTGTATGAGTTCTTCATATATTTTGGATATTAACCCCTTGTCAGAGTTGTTGTTTGCAAATATCATCTCCCATTTGGTTGGCTGCCTTTTTGTTTTGTTGGTGGTTTATTCTGCAGTGCAAAAGCGTTTTAGTTTGATATAGTTCCATTCATTTAATTTTGCCTCACTTTCCTTGCATTTGAAGTCAAATTTAATAAAATCTTCTCTAAGACCACAGTACATGAATTTAGTATCTATGTTTTATTCTAAGTAATTCATAGTTTGAGAACTTACTAGGTCTTTGATCCATTTTGAATTTTTGTATATGGGAACAAGCTGTATTTAGTTTTATTCTTTTGTATGTGGCTTTGCAATTTTCCTAGCACCATTTATTGAAGAGGCTTTATTTTCTCCATTGCTGTGTTTTTAGCTTCTCTGTCAAAAATTATTTGCCCATATACATGTGGTTTTATTTCTAGGCTCTCAATTCTGTTCCATCCGTGTATCTGTTTTTCTCCCAATACAATGGTGTTTTGATTATCATTGCTCTGGAGTATACTTTGAAGTCAGATATCTCTGGCTTCATTTTATTTTTCCCCCTCAGGATTCCTTTCGCTATCCAGGGTCTTTTGTGGTTCATACAAATCTGGTAACTTTTTTGTTCTATTCCTTTAAAAAATGACATTAAGATTTGGGGATTGCACTAAATCTGTATACTGCTTTGATTAATATGGACATTTCAACGACTGATTCTTCCAATGCATGAACACAGAATATCTTTCCACTTCATTGTACCTTTTTCAATCTATTTTAATAATGCTTTATAGTTTTCAGTATATAGGTCCTTTATATTCTTTGTTAAGTTTATTTTACTTTAATTTTCTCCTTTTGTGGCAACTGCAGAAGAATTGTTTTGTTTTTTTTTTTCATTTCCTTTTCTGAAATATTTCATTGTCAGTGCATAGGACTGCAGTGGATTTTTTTGAACATTGATTTTGTGTCCTGCAACTTTACTGTATTTGTTTATTGTTTCTAATAACTTTTTGGTAGTGTCTCTAGGGTTTCCAATATAAAAAAGCATTTCATCTGCACAAAGTGACATTCCCAATTTAGATGCCTTTTATTTCTGTCTCTTGTCAATTGGTTTAGCTAGGATTTCCAGAACTATGTTGAATAAGAGTGGTGACAGTGGGCGTCCTCATCTTGTTCCTGGTTTGAGAGGAAAAGCTTTCAGTTTTTTACCAACGCGCATGTTAGGTGAGGGTCTGTCATATATGGCCTCTGCTATGTTGACCTACTTTCCTTCTATCCCCATCTTGTTGAGTGTTTTAATCATAATAAACATTGCATTTTACCGCAGGTTTTCCTTCTCAGAGCAAACACTACTGCCCCAATTTTACTATATTTAACAAATGCTTATCGATATATTTAACAAGTGCTTTTTGAACATTAATTATGTTAAAATACCATGCCAGGTACTAGAAGTTGAGTGATGAATAAAAAGATGAGTAAGACTTATTATTCTGCTTTTCAAGTAATTTTCAATCTAATGTAGGATAAACATATAAACACAAACAGCAGAGGGGGATAACCTAAGGAGCAGAAGTAAAACACATGTGAAATGAAATTACTAGATGTTTTATAACCAAATAAAGAAAAAGTTTAGCAGTCAAGTCCAACATAGATGAAGACACAGCTAAATAAAAACAAAGAAAAAAAATTGAACTGTTTCAAACAAAAATTACCAATAAAAGTCATTACTTTCAAAATAATCAAATATAACTTTTAATTCAGCTTTAATAAATAACACACATATATAATTTCAGTTAAAGAATAACAATATGCAAAATACACAAGCAGAAATTGTCATAAAACATAGAAGTAAATGTTCTTACCGGTAGAAACTGATCCGTTCTAAACTCAAAATCATCAACAGGTAAGAGCAGTCAAGGAGTACTAAGAATATTTAAGATTTACCAGGAAAAAAAAATATATATAAAAATGAACTATAATAAGCCAATCAAAAATTACACTTTAAACTACTACATAAATTAACAAAATAATAAATAATTTCAAAGTTTTAAAATTCTTTAAGGATATTTAACTTCAGAGTTGTAGCTGTTTCAATACGAACCTAAAAGAAAGCATATCATGAATTTTGAATCTTTCTAGAGCAACTAAACATCATTAATATCAAATGACAAAAAGTTTATTCCAAATAACTTTCTTCACTCCTTTTAATATTAAAGCTACAGAACACATTAATATCTAGAAATAAAAGGACTCTCCTTACCCAGCAAGGGCTAAAAATAAAAAGTAAAGCACATAGCATATAAGAACACAGAGGAGCATTTAAAATATGACAAATAAAAATAGTAACAAAAATTAGCTCTGTCTGAGCTATTTAAAAAGAAAACAAAGTACTTCCCACAGAGAAACAAAACGAATTTTGCACTGATTCATGAGTAATGGGGAGGAAAGCAGAACTTGAATTTACAGAATGAAGAGTTGGAGAATGTTACGGAAAATGAGTAGAAGAGAGCCTAACACAGTTCCTACAACACTAGTTAGTTGTTCAATACGTAATAAATAAAGGCAAGAAAACAAAACAAAAATATTCTCTTAACAAGACTGTAAACATGACTTTTCAAAGAATAAATTCAGACCTTATGAAAAAAAATGAAACCCTAAGTATCCAGAACTGGATCTAGACTGTGAACTCAGCCTGTGAGTCCATGCTACACCTCCAGGTGAACAAAACCTGAGAAAACTCCTGAAAAGAGAAAAAAGGCTAATTCCGTAATGGGGCAAACAAGTGCCATCAAGATGTCAGAAACTTTGGAAGGACCCTAGGAAGTGTGAGAGCAACAGAGAAATTAACAAGAAGAAACTACAGATCAACATTACTTCCAAAAGTAGGAGTATTCAGACCCTTCCATGCCCAGCAGCAGTGAGAACGAGCCTTGGGGTTAAGTGTCAGGATGGTGGATTTGAGGTCTGGACCTGGACCTGCCTAATAATACCCGACCACCTCTACAGCCTGCTCCTAACAGTGAAGGGAACCCCTCACACTGAAACAGTAAGCACGCTGCTGGGGCCAGAAAGAAATGGCACTGTATCAGGGACTTAAGACCGGCAGGAAAATGTAAATAAGGCAGATAAAAGAATACTGTTGAAAGTAAGTTATCTGCTAAAGAGAAATAGAATAATGACTTCATAAACTTTTATCCCTATTTCCTAATTCTTTCAATAAACATTTTATAAGACTTGACTCCATGCTAGGCATAAGAAATACTAACATAAATACCATTATTTGTACACTGGTACTATTACTACTTGGTACTACGCATAGTACATTTTGTACTCTTCAGTAATAAAGTCAAGATGACTCCATTACACAATCTGATGTGTTGCTTCTGAAATACACATGCAAATAAGTTTCCTAAAAGGATAAGAAGCACCTTCAACTTATTTGTCTTCTTTTAAGAAAAAAAATTCTAAAACTCACTTTCATATAATATGGATACCAGACATATGATTACAAAAACCAAAACTGACTACTGAAAACTTTCTTAATTAAGGATTCCTTTCTTCCCAGTTTTGGAAAGGCCTCATATTTTGACAAACACCAATTTTTAAAAATATATTTCCTTTTGTGAAAAGATAGACTAGCCCAGAGTTTAAAACCTGCAGCAGTATTTGGAGACACAAGGATGAACAAATGGAAAGACAGAATCAAAACTTCAAGAGAGAAAGATGGATAAAACTGAGAGACCCATAAAAGGCAGAGGAGTGGAAAGACTGGAGAATGTCAATGCACTCTGTAAAATACCTGCCCATACTACAGCTGTACCTCCCAGTGCATCAAGATTCAATGTCATGTACAGGCCACCAAAAGTCCCATTAACTGCCTTACAACCTTGAAAATCTGCTGTTTTTTCAAGATGGTTGTTTCTTTGCTTGATGGACAGCAACTGCAGCACATACCACCTCCAAACTATAAATCTTCTGGTTCAACCACAGTTTACATTTTACATAGCCTCTCACAAGGTTGAAAGAATATACTAATGCTAATTTTTCTAGCAGCTTACTGCTTTTTTTATTGAAGGCTTTACAGGTAACCTAAGTAAACTCTTTTTAAAAGTTAACTGTAATTTCCAGCCTGGCTGGCATAGCTCAGTGGATTGAGCACAGGCTGCGAACCAAAGGGTCGCTGGTTCGAATCCCAGTCAGGGCACATGCCTGGGTTGCGGGCCAGGTCCCCAGTTAGGGGCCATGTGAGAGGCAACCACATATTGATATTTCTCTCTCTCTCTCTTTATCCCTCCCGCCCTCTGTTTAAAACTAAATAAATAAAATCTTAAAAAAAATTACTTGTAATTTCCCAAATTGAAAAATATGACTGGCTATGAACCTTACAAACTAAACTAGCCCCCAAAATACATTAAATGTACTGATTAAAGAATTAGCTGAGATCCCAGGGTGAGAAGTGGGGTTGGCTGGAGCAAAGGAAAGTGATGGCAGCAAAATGGAGACAATTGTATTCAAACAACAATAAAGGAAAAAAATTTTAAAATACATAAAATGCCAGCTTAATGCAAAAAAAAAAAAAGAATTATTTGAGATCCTAGGAAAAGAAGGTTCCTCTAGCCTAAAATTTAGTCAATCTGTTTACACTGTGGAAAATATCATTCTCAAACCTGAAACTTGCCATAAGCACTGCATCTGCTAACAAATATGTGCTAAGAGAAATGGAAGAGAGCATGGAGATGTTTTCTTAAAATAGGTTTTTCAACTAAGCACTGTGGCACTGAAAAGAAGATAAAAAATACGAACAGCAAAATGACAACAGACTCACAACTATCAATGACTGAACCTAAAACAAAAACAAAAATGAACTAAGCAAACAACCAAACAGGAAAAGATTCACAGAAACGGAGATCACATGGAGGGTTATCAACAGGGACAGGGTGGGGGGGGAGGATAGAAGAAAGTTACAGGGAACAAGAAGCATAAATAAATGGTAGGTACAAAATGGACAGGGGGAGGTTAAGAATAGTATGGGAAATGGAGAAGCCAAAGAACTCATATGTATGATCCATGGACATGAACTAAGGTGGGGGAGTGATGGTGGGACGTGGGGTACAGGGCAGAGGGGAATCAAGGGGAGAAAAGAATGGGACAACTGTAATAGCATAATCAAGAAAATATATTTTAAAAAATAAAAATGGAACCTTACTTTACATCATGTTGAAAAATAAATTCTAGCCTTGGCTGGTATAGCTCAGTGGATTGAGCACAGGCCTGCAAAGCTAAGGGTTGGCGGTTTGATTCCTGGTCAGGGCACATGCCTGGGTTGCAGGCCAGGTCTCCAGTACTGGGCGCATGAAAGACAACCACACACTGGTGTTTCCCTCCCTCTTTTTCTCTCTCCCTTCCCCTCTCTCTACAAATAAATAAAATAACATCTTTTAAAAAAATTTTAATAAAAATTAAAAAATAAACTCTAGATGGAATAAAGAACCAAGAGTTTAAAAAAATGGAAATATTAAACAAGAAATAAAAAAGAAAAAAACAGAAAAAGTAAATCAATAAGTCCACACTGAAATTAAAGAGCTCTGCTGAGCCTGGCTGGTGTAGCTCAGGTGGTTGGAGCATAGTCCTGAAAACCAAAAGGTTGCACGTTGAGTTCCCAGTCAGGGCACATCTGTCGGTTTGCAGGTTTAGTCCCCCATCAGCTGGGTGCCTGCAAGAGGCAGTGGATTGATGTTTCTCCTCCTCCCTTCCTCTCTCTAAAAAATTAATACGCATGTCCTCAGTAAGGATAAAAATAATTAATTTTAAAAAGCCTCTGCTCAACAAAAGGACAACAGAATGTAAAAGTGGAAAAATACAGAGAGAATGAACTGCATTTGTAACATTTTATTTCAAATATATAAATATTTCAAATATATGTAAAAAATCAGCACAATGAAAATATAAAACTGGATGGTGAGCATACAGGTGGCTTGTTACGTTAGTCACTGAATTTTCTCTTTGCTTGATTTAAATAACTTGTAAAAAATAAAAATTTTCAAACCTGCCCTTTTGAAAGAAGTCAGAAATATGCTTACAAATAAAAAATTTCAAAGTAGCAACTATGGTAAACCTAATAAAATTTCCCAACCTTTATTATAAAAAGTTTCAAAATATTGCAATATTATAAATGTTTGTTCATTATGCCAAATCAAGTTTTAGTTCATAAAATTTGGATATTTCAAACTAATAAGCCAAACTGCTAAACACTGAAGAAAATTACATTATTTCAAATAACTAAAAAAATTCACTCAATTTGCATCATGTACCCCCAGATCAAACAATAATGTTAACCTTTTATGCAACTATCAGAGATAGAGATCTACTCTACCCAGTGGCTTCTGATATTATAAAACTTATTGAGTCCTATTTTAAAAGTATATGATATAAACCATTTCTCAGTTTGAAGTTTAACATATGTTATACTTATAAAAATAACTCTTTTAAGATATTTAAACAACATACCACTAAGTCTTGGTCTTGAAGCAAGTTACAAATTGCCTCATACAACATGGGTCTTAAATCAGACTTGAATTTCACAGAAATCCACTGACCAATGAGCCAAATCACCCTGCGTCGTAACGGCTTATACCTAGAACAGAAAAAAATCATGAAATTAAAATGTTAAATATTTTAAGAAGTCTACTTCACTTGTCACATTTCATCATTTAAATTAAAATCTAGTAGAAAGCAATCTACAATTTTATATAAAAGTTTTAAAGGTACTTCTAAATGTACCACAGTATAAATCCTAATAAAGTTCTGATCGAAAAAATTAAAATGTCTTAGGCAGATATGCTTTAAATCTGATTATTTTGTATTTAATTGATTAGAGAGAAAAAGAGAGAGGAACATCGATTTGTTGTTCTATTTATTTATGTATTAACTGGCTGATTTTTGTGTGTGCTGTGACCAGAGACTGAACCTACAACCTTGGCATATGGGGATGACACTCCGACCAAAGAAAGTACCAGGCCAGGGCTGATTGTTTTGTATTAAAGAACTATAACCTAGATATGGACAAAAAACACAAGTCCATTTCTGTTCCGCAAGCAACCAAAAATAGTATTTTAAACAGGTATAATTAGCTAATGTCCCAAACCCTAAGGATAGTGAGGCCCAAAAACATAATAAAAGAACTCCCATATTCAATTGTCCAATTCCAATTCTGTTAATTTCATACATATTGTTTTTGGAACACAGAAATTTGAGATTTCTACACTTACAGGAAATATTCATATAAATTTAAACTAATTTCAGCTAAACTTGCTAATTTTGTAAGAGGTGCCCAACTATAGAATGTGACGCAGGTTATCAAAAATAATGATTTAAATTTTAAACATTCACAGTGACATGTACATACATTTCTTTCTATGATTATCTTTGCTAAAGGAAAGGAGAGTACTTTAGACAATGAGACAGACCACAAAGCTATAGTCAATTGTGTCTTAAGAATTCCATCCACAAAATCTCCTCTTGATATCATATAAACTTTAGTGGTAAAATGGTATTTATTTCTGGGTATAAATAGAAAAAGCTAATGAATGTCCCACAATTTTAGAAAATTACAATCTTATACAATGATCAAGCAAATAGAAAGAATTACTCATCCAAGGTGCAAAATGTGTGTAAGTATACCTGCCCTCAAAAAGTTTATTCCACACTTAGAAGAATTACAGAATGCAAAGCTCTATACTAAGATTTCAGAAAAGGAAAAGAGAATAGTGGGCAGAGGGAGATGAGATTTGAATAGCCTTTAAAATAAACAGTATTCTGGGCAAAAAAAAAAAAGGGAAAAAATGCCATTTTAAAAGATAGGGACTATTTGAACAAAGTCACAGAGGTGGAAATAATCAAGACTTTTGAAGAGGAATGAAGGAACTGCAACACCATCAGTTTTGGACTGAGATCTTTGAAATGACCATATTCACATTCTATTCCAGACAAAAAGAAAGAAACTCAGAAAGGTCCAACTCCAAGATCACAATCGCTTCTGGGGAGAGTTAAGATTAGGGGTCAGTTTGTACATCAAAGTGTGGGGATCAGCAGCATCATTATCCTGGAAGCGTGACAGAATCACACAAACTGACCAGACCCCAAACCATAACCTAAACCAGAACCTGAATTTTAACAAGATCATCAGGTGTTCCATATACATGCATTCAAATTTGAGAAATATTGATCCCGATCAGCTCTGTCCAAAAGATATACGATGCAAGACAACAGGTAATTCTGAAATTTTTAGCACCACGTAAAAATAAGTAAAAGGAGGTTAAATTTTAATAGTATGTTTATTTATCTCAATATATCCAATTTATTATCTTTTCAACATATAATCAATACACATTTTATACTACTAGAGTATTTAAATTTTAGTTAATTAATTTCCTCAGTTGCACTAAGTCCATTTCAAGAGCTCAATAGCCACATATACTAGCTACTGTACTGGATAGTACAGGTCTAGACTAAATAGCCTCTGTTTTAGGACAATCAAACTGCACATCTGTATCCCTGCTGAAGGCCTTCCCTGTATCAAAGGCTCACTAGCTCCCTGGGGGCAGAGTCACAATCCACCTTATTCACTATTGGCTCTACAGGAAATGGCAAATTCCAAGTGTAAAAAATATTTGTTGACTGAATACATGATTGAATAACTGAATGAACAAATAAACAGCTACTTAACTGATCAAAATTACTTTTAAAGAATCTCCAGATCTCAAGAATCCCATTGGTGTAAATCTGGTAAAATGGGCATATATTGTTGGCCTTCTATTCATTCATTAATGTAGTCAAGAAATGTTAACTGATCTATGACTATATTCTAGGCATTCTAATAGAGACCATATCCACAGAAATAAATCAACAGAACTGAACATTTCAAAGCAAGCAAAAGTCTCTTGAAAAAAATTTTGTAGCTAATATTAATCTAGTAAAAAATTTATAGAAACTATAAAAGATCTTTTCCCTTCAATTTCACTCAGTACCACAAATTAAAATAATTAGGCAAATACTTAAGTGTGTCCAAATGCTTTTGGACACTGTATCTCTATGTCCTGCTGTACCCTCCCCTCAAAAAACCTGCAGCATGCTTTGTGTGTTCTACCCTTTCCTGGATGTTACTTCGGTCAGGCTACTTCTGACACTAGGCCTACGCCCTGCTAAGCACCCAAATAGCTTCTCTATACACATTTTCTTTCTACAATTCAGACAACTCCATCTTCTGTAACCTTTGTATAAATTTCATCTTTTCCTATACCAAACTACATTATCTAACATCAAATACTTCATAAATAAAAACGATTCACATTTGAAGTAAAACAACATAATAACAAACTTTTGCTTATTTCTCAGTTACATAAAGTTCACAAGCCTTATTCCTTTTTACACTAGACACTATCAGCTAAGTCATAACATGACTCATTTTTTTTAATTTCAAACAATTTTTCTGCCTTATCTTCATTAGAGAATCACCATGGTAAAATAAGTGTATAATAAACACAAAGTTTTATACTTGCCTATTGTGAATGACTTGCAATTCTGGAAGTAGTTGGTTTTTAAACCACTGATCAAAATCAACACTGTCAAACAGCTCATAAGCTGCCAATCCAACAGCATTATACACTAAGAAGAAAATTTGAGAAAAAAAAATTTAATTTCAGATACTGGGCCATATGCTAAGTATACTTAGAAGAATCTGAGTCTTAAGTACTACTTTGAAACATGTGATGTGTTTAACAAAGGGAAATGTAAAATAGGTTAAATCATAAAATTTTTTTAAATAGACATTCTAGAAACATTGTTACTCTATTGTGTTTCTCCTAAATACTCCTTAGTGCTTTCAAATACAAAATTACATTCATTTAAAAATATTCAAGTCAAAGCATAAATATTGTAAGAGAGCATCTGCTTCCAAATGGGTGAAATGTTTTATGATCTGGTCCCTACTTACCCTCTCCCTCTCTCTATTCAACTCTCACAAATGCCTTAACCTCTATGTTTCGATTTAACTAAAATACTGCCGGTTCAAAATATAACTCTGCTTGCTTCTTTTCCCTTTTGTACATACTCCTGCTTCTGCCTGGAACCCTCTTCCTACACCAACCTCCCTGCCCCCAACTCCTACTTAATGTTTGCGTATTACACTTCTTTAGGAGTCTTTCCCCAGGCACACAAAAACTACCTGTGGTTTTCCACAGTACTACCTGATTATCACCCACTTTAGCATTAATTAACTGATATTATGTTATAATCAACTGTCTTCTTGCTTGGTTTTCTCCCCCACCAGATAGTTCCTGTATTTTAGGTACCCTTATACCCTAATTCCCAGAATAACACCTGCCACAAAACACATACACTATCTACCAAAGATATAAAGATTTCTAAATCACTTTGGTTTAACATACCAGCATCTTTGATTAATAGTGCATTCATATCTTCCACATTAGTGGGCCCTGAAAAAATAAGTATCAGTAAAAGTAAATAAAATTAGTTATTAATAAATATTTCATTTAAACTCAATGTGTTGGCTTCCAGATTCAGTTAAGCACAATACATCTCCTGACATTAAATTACATATATGTGTAAAGGGAAAGTCTGTTTTCTCATCACCATTACAGAACACAGATACAACAGACAAAGTCATTTTACAATTAAAAACATATCTAGCGTATTTGTAAAATGTTCTATCAGGCAACATTCCAGAAAAATATATGCCACAAACTACTAACAACAGTATTATATCCTAATTATAAAATTCTTAAAAGAAAGAAAAAATGAAGCCCACAGTCACAACACTACCTAAAATAGGCAATTCACACAATATGCTCTAAACATAAAAAAGCCTAAAAAGTAAGCTCTACTCAAACTACTACATACAAGATCAGAAATGTCCTTCCCTACAGAGATTCTCTTGCTGTTATTTCCTTACCTCACCACCCACTCAATAACTGACCCCTTGCAATGTGATTCGCAGCCCAATCAATCAAATAATCTATTGTCTCAGAAGATTCTGCTGCCTTCTTTTCTCTTACAGCACTGGACACTTCTGACAACCTGCTCTTCTCCAGGATTCACCTTCATACTACCCTCTTCATACCTGTGGGATAATTTCTCACCTGGCTTTTTTTTTTGCAGGACATTCACATTCTCATATTCCTAAAGATGAGGGATTCTCAGCAGTCTCAGGTTCTGTCCTTGAACCTCTTTTCTTCTCTCAAGGCTTCTTATATACACACTCTGAAAGTCAAGTTCTATCTCTAACCACTACTAATAACTGCTTTCCCTGTCACTAAGACTCCCAAGTTCAGGATTATTTTGATCACCTTCCCTTTGGCAACTCATTGACTCACAGTCAATGAGTTGCCAAAAGTCAATCAACCAACAAATAGTTACTGAGTGTGCCAGGCACTCGGAATAATGTGTGAACAAAACAGATGTGATCACTGACCTCCCCCCTGCCCCTGGAATTTAGAGTACAGCAGAAAAGTAAAAAATGATAAATCACTGTTAATAGTTAAATAATTTCTTGTATACAAAGTATAATGATCAAGTGGTAAAAATTTCACTTATCATTCATTCCCTCTTAAACCCATACCTTCTTTCAATTACCACTACTACCATTCTGAGGCTAACATTTATTATTTTTTTTATGCTATTATTCTTACAACAGCAAAATCTATCATATTCAAGGCCTACCTCGAGGCCTTCTTTTGTGAATTGTCCATTCTTGTTCTGTATCCTAAAGGCCACAACTTCAGAAAAAAAATACATCTGATCTTTCTCAAGTTCCTATCTTTAAATGAGCTATATAATACTTTAGCATTAATTAACTAGTACTATGTTATAATCAATTGTCTGCTTCCTTGGTTATCTCCCCCACAAGATAGTTCCTGTGTTTTAGGTACCCTTATAGCCTAACTCCCAGCATAACACCTGCCACAGAACATACACACATAGCAGGCAATGCACATAGTAGGCACTCACAATTTTAATTAAACATTAATAAGTCAAAATATCAAAAAAATATACCTCACCTTGAAGTGTTTGCATCATTTCTAGAAGTACAGGAGTAAGAGTCTGATTGTATTCATGGAATATATCCATAAATAGTACTTCAGTGCAAGGCTGAAGGGAAAAAAAAATTTCTAATAAAAACAATGGCATATATAATACTGATTAATTCTACAATAAAGCAAAGGATATTCATTCTTAAGATCCTGAAACTCTGAAAATGTTTCTAATTCTTATTTTTAAAGTAGATTGTTATTTTTTGTAAACACAGTGGTAAATAAAATCAAATTATAATAATTTAGTAAAGAACATATGAAAAGTTTATTTCACTATTTCAATCATTTGGCATTATGTATTTTTGAATAAAAACTACACAGAGGAAATAATTTACATTTTTAATTAATAATTCTTTCAATTAAAAAAGCAATCTGGGGCCACATTCATTTACAGATTCAGTACTATTGATGAATGTATAGAAATTAATGTTAAAAGCTTGTATTTGCTTAACAACGACATAAGAAACAACAGCAATTCATGAGTTCAATTCACTACATTGAGTATTTCTTTTAATAGACTCAAACATTAACAGAAGTCAAACAGTGTTAGCTACATAATAAGAATGATTCATTTTGGATCTTAAAAGTACTGAATCACTAGATGTTTCATTAAGAGAAAGAAAGTATCATTAAATGTTGAAGGTATTGTGCTTTATGTTTAAAAAGAAATCTTATATACATACATATACTAAAGTATGACAGATAAAATAATGTCATCTCAGACCTGTGCTTGAAAATAATCCCAGAGGGTAGGGAGGATGTATTTACATGAAACAAGACTATCCATGAATTGGTAACTGATAAACTAGGTTTTGGGTACAGAGGGTTCTTAATATTATTGTTTTTTTAATATAAAATTTTCCATAAAAGAAAATTTAAAAAAGATTAAAGCAGTCAATTTTTTAAAAAAATTACAGTTCTAATGATTTCTCTAATTTACAATCTTTATGGTTTTATATGTAAGCTTATGAAACTAAAAACATATTGTTAGAAAAATAGTGGCAAATTATGTAACACAAGTCTTCATAATAATAAATAGTTCAAAGACCACACTTGGTAAATCTTCCTCAAATGTTGGCCATATCAATAAATGTATGTTTAAAAAGCATTTTATAACTTAAAGCAATGGACTAGTCTCCGAGAATTAATCTAGATGGTAAAAGAAATACAATTACCAACAGAAGTTTTATAATAACTGAAATACTTTGTAAGAAATCAAAAATGATTCTAGCCAAAAGGAGATAGCTTTCACTTTCAAAAACGTTTTCTACTGCTGCAATGAAAATTATTTCCAAATCAATTTGACTGTAGAATGAAGAGAAATTCAGTTTGAAAATCACTAATTTAACCAAAATTTTATTTCAGATTCAAGTTCATCACTTTATTAAAGTCCTTTCATCTCAAATATACATTATTGTAATTATGAATAGTTTCCTGTCTGACTTAATAAGCTTGGACTCTTGAATATAGTATCATACTCTACTACCAGTTATAGAAGCATGAAGCTTTTCCCTATCACTTTTTCTTTCAATCAATACTTACCCTCAAACTGTATTTCCAAGAATCTCCTCCTGTTTCTTCCACTGCTGCAATAGAATCAGAGACATGGAAATAAAACACAAACTGACAGTTATCAGAGGGGAATGGGGAGGGTGATAATGGGGAGAAAGAAGAGGAAGGGTCAAGTTAAGGATCAAGTGTAAGGGACCCACAGACAAGGACAACATGAGGGAGGATTAAAAAAAGATGACAAATAATGCTCTCCAGAAATGTAATAATAGTGTTTCAAAATTCTCAGTTTGGAAAACAACAAATTTTAAATGATATCACTTTAATATTTCTGTGAGTTGTTTTAAACCTGACACAAAAAGCTTTTCCTTGGGGACACAAGGTCTAACAGATATCTTTACTATAAGCTACACATCACACCTGTGTACATTACAGTCGCCTATCAAGTGCTTTCATCCATAAGCATTCTTAATTTCATTAAAAATTCTGTACAGAAGAAAGCTCAAAGTACTTGTCACTTCCAGAGTATCTGGTATTACCTCATACACTATCACTACAATCCTCAGAATCATTTCATTTTATATAATAATCATGTTTTGTGTTGTTACTTTAAATTTATAATTTTAGAGCGAGAGAAGAAGGGAGGCAGGGGAGAGAGAGAGAGAGGGAGAGAAACATCAATTTTCTGTTCCCCTTATTTCTACACTCATTGGTTGATTCTTGTATGTGCCCTGATGAGAGAATCAAACCTGCAACCTTGGCATATTGAGATAATGTTAAAATAATTAGTCACATTTTCCATAAATTTCCTATATTTAAAGTAAAATATAATACTTAAGTGACTTTTAAGAATCTGGTGATGCAGTGTTTCATGCTACAATATTATGAATTCTGCATAAAGAAATATGGGACATTAAGATTTTAGCTAAGACAAAAGTAAAAAACAAAAAGAATGTAGAGTGTAGTATTACATATGAAGTCTGTCCAGAAAAAGTCTAGCTATTGTTAATATAACGAGAATGGTTTACATGATATCCAAGTGACCTGGAAGCCAAGGAGAGTGGACTGGAATGTACATGCATGAACAATGACAATCTCAAACTGTACTAGTTAGTTGGGGTGGTAGATATCCTTGAGTGAGCATGTGTACTGTGTGGCCATCGCATTCAAAATGACTGAGCAAGTAGAGTAATGAATCTGCATTGAATTCCACATTCAGTTTGAACATTCCTCCCTCAGAAACTATTCCTATGACTCAGAAGGCTGCAGCTATGGGCAACTATTGATTGGTAGCTTCATTACAACAATGTGCCTGCTCATGCATCATGTCTCATGCAGAGTTTTTTGGTGAAACATCAAATCACCCAGGTGACTCAGTCCCTCTACAGTCCCAATTTGGTGCCCTGCATCTTCTAGTTTTTCCCAAAATTAAAATCACCTTTGAAAGAAAAGAGATATCAGCCCATCCATGACATTCAGGAAAATAGCACAGGGCGACTGATGGCAACTGGGAGAACTGTGTGAGGTCCCAAGGTGCCTACTTTGAAGGGGACCGAGGTATCTTTGTCCTATGTACAATGCTTCTTATATTTTGTATCTTCTTCAATAAATGTCTCTATTTTTCATATTACACAACTGGTTACCTTCTGGAAAGACCTTGTATTTTATAAACCAAACTGTTTTTAAATGACAAAGGAAGACTTCCAAAATGTTTAAGGCATTCTTCAAATATTAGGAAATGTGTATAACTACACAAAGGCACTCAGCCAAAAAGGCTAAATTTAGCCCACATCTGGCCATAACCAAAGGAAAACACACACAGGTACTTTATTAGGTACACAATTATTTGATTTTCTGTAGTGATTGTAGTGAGGGCCTTCGTAGTTTTATTCTGCCTATCTACTATTAAAATTCAAACATAAAATATTTGTTAAAAAAATTTCAATCATCAAAAATTAGTTGTAAATTAAATTTTAAATAGGAAATCCATTTAGCAGTTCAAAAATACTCATTTCCAAATTTCTGGAGTAAAAATTTCTACAAATAAAAATACTATGGAATGAATCACAAAGTAGAAACTGACCTGATAATAGAGACAGGCAGCTAATTTTATATATTTTTGTTTAAAATTACATGATACATTCACAATAATAACTAAAAATTGAAAAGGTCTCTTTGTAGAGAAAATACTATATATTTGAATGATTATGACTCATTTTCTGCTTCTCAATTTGTTCTAATGGCTAACAAAGAATGGATGATAAGCTAATTTTTAAAAAGCAAGATTCTAGCCCTGGCTGGCATAGCTCAGTGGATTGAGCGCGAGCTGCGAACCAAAGCATCGCAGGTTCAATTCCCAGTCAGGGCACATGCCTGGGTTGCAGGCCATGACCCCCAGCAACCGCACATTGATGTTTCTCTCTCTCTCTCTCTATCTCCTTCCCTTCCCTCTCTAAAAATAAAATAAATAAAATCTTAAAAACAACAACAACAACAAAAAGCAAGATTCTCAGATCAAAAGCATTACATTAAAAAATAATCTTATACTAGCCCTGGCCAGTACGGCTCAGTTGGTTGGAGTGTCATCCCTTAACTGAAGGGTTGCAGGTTCAATTCCCAGTCAGGGCACATGCGTAGGTTGCAGGATTCTTTCCCCAGTCCAGGTACATGTGATCCTGAGTCTGGGCAGGTGCAGGAAGCAACTGACCCATGTTTCTCTCTATCCCTTCCTCTCTCTCTCCAAAAGCAATGAAATAATATCCTCAAGTGAGGATAAGAGACAAAACAAAACAAAAGAAGTCTTGTATCTGTAGTTCAAATACATGATGTCTATTTATGGAAGGGTAGAAAAGCCATGGGAATACTAAAATACTGATTCTTACTAAAGCCTTCTGGATCTTCTTCCCACATTGTCAGTTCTTCTTCAGTTAACAGAAAATAATGAGAGACTAATCTTCTACAAATCTCTGTCAAAGTGGGGTATGTGAAGAATGCCATCTTAATCTTATGAGCTTCAAGGGTTTCAGGACTGCTATCTAGAAAAACAAAATCTCCAAGTTAATAGTACCAACATCCTACCCAAGGTGGATTATGTAACTTAAAAATATAAATAAATTTAAAAATATAAATTTAAATTTATAAATATATCCTTGGGGGAAAAGATACAGTGGTGTATAAATTTTCATTTTTATTATGAAAAAACCACAAAGACACCTTTTCTTTTGTTCATACCACACAAACATCAGTCTTACTTCTCTCTTACCCATTTTCATTCATCATGGTACACATGCCCATGAATGAATTCCAAATAACATAAGTTTAACTTGTCTAGAAACAACTTCACTTTATATAAAATCTGAGAAAACTTTTAATTATACAAATGAATAGACCCTAAACATGAGCTGCAGTAGCTATTTTAACTGCCACTTTAATCTTAAAGTCCCTAGGCCTCCACTGATCCTCTATTGTGCTATAAAAGTCAGTTTACTAAACGTATGGTTTTTAAAAGCTGGCATTCACATAACAAGACCTAATCCTTATCTCCATTTCAAGTTGCAGCAACATTTTATTTTTCAGACAAATTAATTTCAAAAATTTACATAAAACAGCATTTATTTCATACGTCAATTAAAATAAGAAAATAAAAAATAAAACTATCTGAAAAGCATTACCTTCAAAATTTTTGGATGGCTTATAAGCATAATTTTTGACAATCATCTTAATAAGATTCATGCATTGGACAATGAATCGTTCAAATGTAACCCCTTCACCAACTTCTGTAAATACATAGCTCACAGAAAATTCCAGTGACCTCTGAATTAGTGGAGTAAATGAAAAGGGATGTTGATCCAAGAAATCCAAAAGCTGTAAAGAAAGAAATTAAAATGTATTTTCCCCATATTAATATAGGAGTATAAGCATCTATAAGTATATCTTACAACTTCACTAGTAAACATTTGGCAAGTTTTGAACCTTGGTGAGTCTGTGTATGCAATTTCACATGTAATATACATGTAACATATGCATAATATACATAGCACCACCTATAAAGCATTCTTGCCACTTCCACCTTTTTGCACCAAAACAAAAAAACAAGAAACAAAAAATCCTGAATGTGAGCAAGCCTCTACATCTAACTATAAATTTGTAAGAAACCTGGAGGAAGTGAGGGATATGGAGACAAAGAAACATGGTAAATAACACATCAGGATGCGGCTGATTCCAAAACATGGAAAACTCTACAGAAAATAATCAATTACCTCAACAAATATACATCAATGAAAAAAAAATAAATGGAAGGAGAATTGACACTACTGAATCCTAATTCGAACCATCTACTAAAAAATTCATGAGAGAAATCTGAAAACTAAATATTTAGATAATATTAAGAAGTCATTGTAATTTTTAAATGTAATAAGTGTTAAGATTGTTTTTTTTAAATCTCTTACCACTTAAAGACACATTCAAATATTTACAGATAATACTATATGATTTCTAGACTGGCTTCAAAGTAACCAGCAAGGAGGAGAAACCAGATAGATTAAACAGAAATGACCATGACCATATGGTGATAATTGCTAAAGCTAATTCTATTTGGAGGTATATTTGAAACGTTCCAATTTTAAAAGCTTTTTAAAAAGTCACAGAGGTCATAAATATGAATTTCATAAATTAAATTATGCATGAACACTGCACAGCACCACTGACTAACCACCTTGTCTTATTTTACTTTGTTTTGTGATTTTTGTTTTTAACTAAGAGGATCTGAATCAGTTTTATACTGGGTCTTGGAAGATTAGATGGCTTTTACCGCTGAAGCTATTTGGAACATATAGTTGGAAATGAACACAACTAGAACTACAGGTCAGTGCTCCCTAACCACAAACATAAAAACAGCTCATTGCTACTCCTTTTCTCCTTTCCCAGGGAATAAACAGTCTTAATTCTATTAATGAACCTTCAATGAAAACAGGGAAAAGGATAAAGATTTAGATATTGCCACCTGTCTTCAATTGTTTCATTTCAATGAAGTCCTCAACCCCAATCTTCCTGATTGCTATAACTTAATTCTTTGAACTTTTCCCAACCCCAAAGCCCAAAATTTCATAAAAATAATTTTATAAAACTCAATTTTATCAGAAATTTATACACATTGCCCAGCAAGTACACTAATACAATTCTATTCAAAGGAGGTTTAATTTGACAATAATCATTCATTCTGAATATCATGACTTCCTGATATTATACTGCCTGCTATATTTTAACTGCATCCTGCTCCACTGCACTGGTATCTTTTTTTATCTCTCTTTCTCAAATACTTACTAGGATAGATTTTTTTAACATCAAGGTGATTCATACACTATAACTTATGGTATATAAATTTAATTATTATAGGCTTTGAGATACAAAGGTGTTTTTTCTCTCATTTTCCCATAAAAAGAAAATAAATTATGCTGAAATCAAAATGTATGCTTATTAAAATATCATTTTCCTTACTAAATTTGCATATGTGTATGTTATTTGAGATAATTAACATTTAAAAAAACTTACCACTTTAGTAAAAAGAATAATGGTCTTTTCCAATCTATCTCTACACACGTTATCTGTACCTATATTTCTACCTGTTAAAAATACATTTCAAATATTAGTACAAGTTTATAATATTCTATAAATTCACAATGAAGACAATGACAGACTAAAAAAAGTCATCTATTTTTTGCATATTTTGTATTATGAATTCATTACTGTGTATTCCCAACTCTAAACAAATTAACCATAAAAACAAAGTTTTCACAGAATATCAAGATTTGCATTTAACAGAAACAGTAATCCCCAAGACCAGTATTTCACAAAATTAATCCTAAAATATAAACTGAGTCCATTTTAAAGTAAAAGGGTAACAATTTTATCCATGAATCACGAGTCTCATTTTCAAAATCTGAATTAGTCATAGTTGAAATACTTTTCAAGCAGTATAAGTAGAAACAAAGCACTCAAAGATTAACATACTCATTATTTTTCCTTTATCTCTAATAATTTTCTACTGATAATTTCCCTGTCATAATAATTAATTATGTACATTAATTATGTACATAATAATTAATGATGTACAAAAATAATTAATTTTTGTACATCAGAATGTCTATCAGCCCATCAACTACTCTGCTCTCTAATCATATTCTTCATATTCTGCCTCATTATTTATTTCATTCTCCCTCTGCTCCCCCCAGGCAGTAACCAAAGAAAAATAACAATTTTTAGAAAAATAAACTGTATTATATGAACTGTCTTATTCACCTTTACATGTACAGTACCCAGAAGAGTGACTGGCAATAGACTCAAGAATGCTTTTGTTAAACTGAAAATGACTGCCATGAAACAATCAGCAACTCCTTGAAAGTAAGTACACTAAGATATCTTCCCAGGTTAGTAAGTCCTCAAAAACACACACATATACATAAAAGCACACACTTATACAGGATATACATACCAGTGTGTGCATACAGGACATGCATGTGTGAATGTGTGCATGCACACGTATCTGTGTATCCTAAGCAAAGATGCTTACAATCACAGGGAAAAGGACAACAGACTACCAGTATAATACAACATAAATATAAATGCTAAATTCTCTTTTGTGTGGTAGTGGATTACAATGGGTCCTAAAGGTAAGGTTAATGAACAAGAATTAAGGAATTAAGAATTTAAGGAAATTTGGGGGGTGGGCTGGCTAGAAGAGGGCGAAAGGGGGAAAAACTGGGACAACTGTAATAGCATAAATGATAAAACATTAAAAAATAAAATAAAGGAAATTTTTATCATACGGATATGTAAAATGCACTAAAAGCAACAGAATCTAATCTACAAGAGGTCTACATATCATGTGCATAGAATCTACACAATGACTATCTGTTAAATATGACTTGTGGATGTCTGCATGGAATATGGTAGTAGCAGTAGAAATACAGAATGAATAATCACAAAATAAACTTTCTGAAAAAAGGTTTCCTCGATACTCAAGACTTGTGTATGAAAACAAAACTGAGCTTCCAATTTAACTTCAGAGAACTCATTATCAAGACACAAGCTCTTAGCCTCTCTCCAGATATGCAAGTTTAGAGCAGAAGCTACTAACAAGAAAGGGTTCTACAGTAAAAATACTATCATGAAAGTACTTACTGCATTCCAGAAATTGTTTTAGACGGTCAAATATTCCATGTAAAAAACCCTAGAAAAGAATATTTTTAAAAAGTGTCTCAACTTATACTGTAATAAACATTTATCTTGTATTTTTCAGGAATACTGAAACATTTCAATTAAATCATTTTAAAAAGATAAAATTAAAATTAAAAAGTTTACTATTATAAACAAGTCTTACACAAGAAAGTAATTACAGTTAAGTCCCCCTTATCTGCAGGGGATAAGTTCTAAGATCCAATGCCCAGTGGATGCCTAAAACCTTGAAGAATAAAAGCCCTAAATATACTATGTTTCTTCCTAAATATACATACCTACGATAAAGTTTAATTTATCTAAGTTAGGTACAATAGGAGGTTAACAACAATAACTAAAAATAAAACAATTATAACAAAATACCATGATGTTATGTAAATGTGGTCTTTCTGTGATTACTAAGTGGCTACCAGTGACTGACCTTAGTCTCTACGGTGAGAATATTCTGGCCAAAGGGATAATGCACATCCTGTGGGGGTGGTGGACAGGGGTCAAGAGGGATGGGGCTCAAACAGCATAAGATTTCATCACACAACTCAGACCACTGTGCATTTTAAAAGTTTTGAACTGTTTATTCTGAAATTTTTTATGTAATACATTTGGGCCACAACTGCCTTTGGGTAACTGAAAGCAAAGAAAGTGAAACTATGGATGGGGGGACTACTGCATAGTATTTCATCTCTTCAGTGTCTCATTTCAGTTAATTGAGTTACCTCAATCACTTTGCAATAAAATATTATTTATAAAGTATATTTCATAAGTACTCCCTATTCTCCTCACTTTTTAATTTTTCTTCACAGTCCTTATAACTCCCAGACACACTGTTTGTCTATTATGTCTCCTCCCACAAGAATGTAAACTCCTTAAGATCCAGAGCTTTGCTTTCTTTTATTACTTTACACCAGAATCCACGAACAGTATTTAGCAATAATAAGTTCTCGATATATAAATAAATGGTAGTAATTATTTTAAGCAGAGGTTCCAGATCTCAAGTGTTAAAATATATTAGCCTCCAGATACCAGAAAAGGTAAGCGGCATCTTTTACCATATGGGTTCAAAAAAACATTACTTTTTTAGATACAGGGTCTGGCAGAAGTCAGTCCTGCTTGCATGGTGTTGGTAGAGTAAGAATATGGGTGTAATGATTTCTCATTTTAATTTGAACATTTTAATGCCATATGGTGTGCTTGAGAGTGATATTATTATCTTACAGAATTACATGCTTATGATTGTATAATAAAAAAGGAGCATTATTTGTGCCAAACCCTGTATATTTTAAAACATTCTAAGAAAATTTTCCAGATTAAGTATGAAAGGATAATGAAAACAACTTTATTATGATTTTTAAGAATTTAAAAATTGTAGACATCTCCACATTAATTTTGAGACAGAAACATCAAAGATGTCACATGTCCTTTTAGATGGTCTAGGTTTTTTCAACAAAGTACTGTGTAATAAATGTTTTCCAGCTAAATGACTAAAATAAATTGTCTTATTTCCCCTTTTCCTTAGAAATATATTGCTTACTAATAGATTCTTTAAAAAGAACTTTATTATACTGATTGATTCTAGAGAGAGATAGGGAGAGGGAGGGAAAGGGAGGGACAGGGAAGGAGAGGGAGGGAGAAGGAAGGAGGGAGGGAAAGAAAGAGAAACATCAATCCACCTATTTATGCATTCACTTGTTGCCTGCCTCTTATATGTGCCCTGACCAGGGATCAAACCCGAAACCTTGGCGTATTGGGACAATGCTCTAATCAACTGACCTACCCAAGCAGGGCCTATTTTCTTTAATACAAAATCAGTGTATCAGTCAGGGTTCTCTAAAGAAAGTAGAAAATTATAAAGGCCATCAATTTTAGTAAGCTTATCAACAGAATCAGGAATCTACAGAATCATAGACAGCACTAATCTGTAATTCAAATAAACTAAGTTACTTGACTAATGTTACAAAATAATAGAATAAGAATTCAAATTAAAGTTGCTATTAAATGGCAATTTATGGGCAGACTTTGATTAATTGCTAAGCTTATTACAAAAAATCATCTCTTAATCCTAAAACATACAATGAGGTAGATACTATTATTTCTTTTTTAAAATTGTTTTATTGATTATGCTATTACAGTTGTCCCAATTTTTTCCCCTTTGCCCCACTAACCCTAGATCCCCCACATTCTCTAGCAATCCTCACACCACTTCATTGTTCATGTCCACAGGTCATGTGTGTCAGTTCTTTGGCTACTACATTTCCTGTACTGTGCTTTATATCCCCATGGCTATTCTGTAACTATCTATTTGTACTTCTTAATCATTTCACCTCTTCATCCATTCCCCCGCACTTCCCTCCCATCTGGAAACCATCAAAATGCTTTCCATATTCACGATTCTATCTCTGTTCTTCCTCCTTAATTTGTTTTTTAGATTCAATTGTTGACAGATATATATTTAATGACATTTTATTGTTCATGGTTTTGATCTTTTTCTTAAGTCTCTTTAACATTTCATATAATAATGGTTTGGTGATGAACTCCTTTAGTTTTTCCTGTCTGGGAAGCTCTTTATCTTCCCTTGGACTCTAAATGATAGCTTTGCTGGGTAGAGCAATCTTGGCTATAGGTCGCTGCTTTTCATGACTTTGAACATTTTGAGAGATCAGTTGACAGTTTTATGGGAACTCCCCAGTAGGTAACTAACTGCTTTTCTCTTGCTGCTTTTAAGATTCTTTATTTATCTCTAACCTTTGGCATTTTGATTATATGTCTAGGATGGGCCTCTCTGCATTCATCTTGTTTGGGACTCTCTGTACTTCCTGGAGTTGCATGTCTTTCCTTCACCAAATTAAGGAAGCTTTCTTTCATTATTTTTTCAAATAGATTTCCAACTTCTTGCTCTTTCTCTTCTCCTTCCGGCACCCCTAAGATGTAAATATCAGATGTCGTTAAGTTGTCACACAGGCGGCTTACACTATTCTCATTTTTTCGGATTCTGTTTTTTTGTTCTGATTGGTTGGTTTTTGCATCCTTATGTTCCAAATCATAGGTGTGATTCTCAGCTTCATCCACTCCACGGTCACTTCCCTGTGTACTGTTCTTTATTTCAGTTAGCATGTGCTTTATTTCTGACTGGATCTTTTTTATGCTGTTGAGGTCCTCACTAAGTTTCTTCAGCATGCTTATAACCTGTTTTGAACTCTACATCTAATAGACTGCTTATCCCCATTTTGTTTCATTCTTTTTCTGGAATTTGATCTGTTCTTTCAATTGGGCAATGTTTCTTTGTCTCCTCATTTTGTTAGTCTCCCTGTGTTTGATTCTATGATTTAGGCAGAGCTACTTTGACTCCAAGTCTTGTACCGTGGACCAATGTAGTATGTGTCCTACAGGGTCCAGTGGCAGAGCCCCCCCATCATACAAGCTGGGTATTTGAGATGTACCCTATTGTGGGCTGAGTAAACCCCTCTTCTTGTAGTTGAACCTTGGTTGGTGCTGGCAGATCAATGGGAGGGATTTATCCAGGCCAGTCGGCTTCATGTATAGGCTGTGCCCACTGGCTATCAACCACTGCCCCTTGTGGAGGATCAGCTGTGCAGTGGCAGGGGGTGGTGCTTCAGTGTGGTCTGTACCTGTCCACTGGATCCACAGGTTCTGGGGTTTTCTGCGTAGTGCACACCAAAGTCAGCCCCCACATCGTCTACAGTCACCATGCATAAGCTATAAGGCAATCTCAGATGACTTACTTGTGCTGGGCTTGGAGGTTCCCAGGTAAAGCCAAGCTGTGAATCTTGGCTGGCTGTTGCTAATGCTGGGCCTGGGACCACTTAGCTATCAATTCGAGGTCTGTGGTTTCACTGAAGCCAGCTAATGATTGTTTCCTTATGAATCCATTCACAAGAAAAAGTCACTGTTAACAGTTTGCATGTGCTAATAAATTGGGTGGGAAGGAGTCTCAGGGGATCTCCAGGGTGGGGAAAACTGTGTTAACCCAGGTTGATGGAATCTCAGATATGGCACTTACCTCTAATTCTATTGCTCTGTTGGGGAGGGTTCAGAAAAAGGACAATGGCCTCTGTCTGCCTTTCTGTCCGGGAGAAAGTTGTCCCCAGCTCTTGCCTTGATACCAGACACTTCAATCTCTCCCTGTATGCCAGTGACACCTTTCAAGCTGCTATTCCAGTGCTGGAGCTCAGAGGGAATGAGTCTGACTAAATTTGGGTGTGGGTTCTTTAAGAGTTACTGCTTGGGACTCGAGAAGTTTCTTCCACTACTCAATATCCACTCGTTTTTGCAGCCAGAAGTTATTGGGACTTACCTTCCTGGCACTGGAACCCTAGGCTGGGGTGCCTGGTATGCAGCTGGAACTCTTCACTTCTGAGATTTCCCTCCCAAATTTTAATCTACCACATATGGGTGTGGGACCAGCACATTCCGCATCTCTGCCCCTCCTATCAATCTAGATAGATGTGGTTTCTTTACCACATAGTTGTCAGACTTCCACTCAACTGGAAGACAATTTCTGTCAGTTCTGGATGATAGCTATTTTATATTTTAGTTGTAATTTGATGTGGTTGTGTGTGGAGGTGAGCCATGTTTGCCTATGCTGCCATCTTGACCAGAAGTACAGGTACTATTATTTTATCTCCATGTTACAAAAAAGGAAACTTAGTATGGTGAAAGTAATAGCCAGCGGCCGTGCTATGAAGAAAAGTCCAAGGGAATTTGTGGTCTCTGCTCTGGTTTAGTGGTTGTGGAAAAAAGGGAAGTTACCTGAAATTCCGCAGACCATTCCTCCTCATCTCAAGACATGCTTGAGGAGCAGTATGAAGAGAGGCTGAACTAGGCAAAATAAAGACAGGTGTAATGCATGTCTGGACATCAGTGTTGCTGGTTCTTGGGCTTTTGGACTCATGTTTGGACTTACATCTTCAGCCCCCATTATGCAATCACATCAGACTTTCCTGATTCTCTGGCTTGTAGAGGGCAGATTGTGGACTTCTCTGCCTTCATAACCATGAGGATCCAAGATGGTGAATGAGTAAGTTGAATCTACACTAACCTCCTCCAAGGACCAATCTGGAATTACAACTAAATTATAAAGAAATCATCTTGAATAATCAACTGAATACCAGCTGGAGAGAAGCCTTATAACCAAGGACAGACAGAAGAAATCACTTCACCACAGTAAGACTGGTAGGGAGTGCAGAGGAGGAGCAAGAAGGCTGGCTGGGCTCCCATGAGGGCCAGCCCAACTTCTGAAGAGATATATCAGTGGCCCTGAGAAGTGTGGGGTCTAAACCTCAAGCTGGGCTCATCAGCTTACAGCACCAGAGCCTGAAAGGAAACCAGGTAACATACAGCAGTGAAAAGCAGCAGGGTTTCTGTCTGCCAGGGAGAGATGCCTGGAGACACAGAGAGCCTTTTAAAGGGCTAATGCACAAAAGTTCATTGCAGCCACTTACTCTGGGGTCCAGCAGAGGGAGAGCACAGTGAACTAGAGACACTTGAGGAGAACCGTGGGTTGGTGGCTCCAGAAAAATAACTGAAGGAATAGCTGCCAGTATCCCTGTGCTCAGCCATTCCCCATACTGCAGAAGTCATCTTTCTTAAGCAGACCACTCCTCTCTAAGTGGCATCGGCCTGAGGGTAAGCAATAGCCCTACCAGCAGGAATTGCTCTGCTCTGCCCTGTGAAGCTTAATCCAAGCTGCAGGTTACAGCTGATTAGATCAACAATGCAGTTCAATGGATGATTAGTTTAAAAACTAAGGTGGAAAATACAAAGCAGCCTGGGGTTATTTATTTAAGCCCAAATAAAAAGACAACCCACAGAATGGGACACCATACTTGCCATACATCTGATAAGGGGTTAATATCTAATATTTATAAAGTACTTATAAAATTCAACACCCAAAAAAAACAAACCCAATTAAAAAATAAGCAAAAGAGCTAAATAAACTCTTCTCCAAAGAGGATGTATGGATAGCTAATAAACATATGAAAGATGATCAACATCACTAATTTTCAGAGAAATGCAAATTAAAACTACAATGAGAGAACATCTCACACCTGTCAGAATGGCTATCATCAATAAATCAACTGGCGAGGATGTGGAAAGGGAACCCTTTTGCACTGTTGGTGTAAATTCAGATTGGTGCAACCACTGTGGAAAACAGCATGGGGATACCTCAAAAAATTAAAAATGGATCTGGCTTTTGACCAAACAGTTCCACTTCTGGGAATATATCCAAAGGAACCCAAAACACTAATTTGAAAGAACATAAGCACCCCTATCTTCATTGCAGCATTATTTACAATCACTGAGATATAGAATCAGCCCAAGTGTTCATCAACAGATGAGTCAATAAAATAACTACGTGACACTTACACAATGGAATACTACTCCGCTGTAAAACAAGAAAATTTTTACCTTAGCAACAATATGGGTGGACCTGGAGAACATTATGCTAAGTGAAATAAGCCAGTCAAAGAAAGTCTAATACCATATGATTTCACTCATAAGTGGAATCTAATGAACAAAGCGAACTAACAAGCAAAACTGAGAAAGACTCACAGTTGGAGAGCAGATGACAGCTAGTGGGTGGGGGGGAGATAAAGGGTGGAGGGACTGAGCAAAAATGAAAAAGGACTCATGGACATGGACAACAGTGTGGTGACTGCTGTGGGGAAGAGAGTATAAGGTGACTAAATAGTAACAGGAAAAAATACAATAAAGATGAATTTTTTTAAGACCAAAGTAATCTCTTTTTTTCCCCAGGAAACACCAAATGGTGGATGACACTGGTGCTGCAGAAGGGCCCAGAGGACCCAGAATGGGAGTCTGCGGTGGCTTCTGTGGAGGATTTGGCAGCGGCATCCCAGCAGAGGCAGTGACAGGGGTCAGGGTCAAGGCTGTGGAGCTCTCAGAGGCAAGGCTGAGGATAAGGAGTGGACTCCAATCACCAGGTTGGGCCGCCTGGTCAAGGACATGAAAATCAAGTCCCTGGAGGAGATCTATCTCTTTTCTCTGCCCAACAAGGAATCTGAAATCACTGACTTTTTCTTGAGGGCATCCCTCAAGGATGAGGTTTTAAAAATTATGCCCTTGCAAAAGCAGACACATGCAGGCCAGCGGATCTGGTTCAAGGCATTTGTTGCCATCAGGGACTACATTGGACACGCTGGTCTGGGCTTTAAGTGCTCAAAGGAAGTAGCCACTGCCATCCGTGGGGCCATCATCCTGGCCAAGCTCTCTATTGTCCCTGTGCAGTGAGGCTACTGGGATAACAAGATCAGCAAGCACCACACTGTCCCTTGTAAGGTGACCAGGTGCTGTGGCTCTATGCTGGTGAGACTAAACCCTGCACCCAGGGGCACTAGCACCGTCTTGGCCCCTGTGTCCAAAAAGCTGCCAATGATGGCTGGTATCAACGGCTGCTACCCCTCAGCCAGGGGCTGCACTGCTACGCTGGGCAACTTTGCCAAGGCCACCTTTGATGCCATCTCTAAGACCTACCTACAGCTATCTCATCCCTGACCTCTAGAAAGAGACTATGTTCACCAAGTCTACCTATCAGGAATTCACTGACCATCTTGTGAAGACCCATAGCATAGTTTCTGTGCAGAGGACCCAGGGTCAAGCTATGGCCACTACATAATTTTTGTACAAGGAAAATAAAGTGAATTAAGCCCGTTTTTTTTTTTTAAAAAGGCCAAGCTGAAATTCAAATCCAAATCTATGTGCCTCCAGAAATCAGAATCTCACCACTACCATTTAGCACTTCTTATTTTTAAGTTCCATGTATTTTTAAGATCTTTATGTTATTTAAAAAGATGTCCTCAATTTGTTAAAATTCTATCTTCAATCAGTACACCTTAAATGCTACAATATAGAATTTGTAACTGAGTGAAGGTTGACAAATATTATAATTTCTGCAGACAGAAAAAAAGACTATTAAGGGAAAGCCAAAGGCTTACAAAATACTAGCAGATCCAATGAAAACCACTGTTCTAGTATATGAGAATGTGATTCAAATCAATTCATTTTTTGCTGGAAAAAATTGACCAACATAATTTTAGTTAATATAATTTGATAATACTCAGCATAATATTGCATATAATAATTACTGAGTCTCTTGACATAATGCTTCTACCACATCATGTGTTCATGCACTTAACAAATAACTACTGAGCATTTTTGTATGAGAGACTGTTCCAAGCTCTGCAGTGAACAGTCAACAAAACAAAGTCTCTGCTTCACGGAACTTACATTCTAGTGAGGGAATTGAAGGAGAATTGTAAAACTGATTTCTGAAAATTGTTTTCTGGTGGTTTGGTAATGACTGCAAATATTTTAAATGTATCAGTATTTAAAATTGTGGTTGATTTTTGATATATTTTCTGGCAATCTGGTAATACATCAATACTATGTTCCATTTCTAAGAATTCATCCTAAAGAAATCATTAGAAAAGTACACAATGACATATGTACCCAAATGTTTGTTCCAACATCACTTATCAGCAATTAAAAACTGGTAACAACCTATATGTCCTATGAATAGGTAACTGGGCAAGTGAATTACAGGAAGGCTATACTAATTATCGTTTCAAAAAAATGGTCCACCAACTGTAATCATCAATTCACTGCTGACATGAGAAATATTCACAATACACTAAGTTTTAAAAAAGCAAGTAACAAAATAGCAGGTAACTCCTGTTTATATAAAATCAAGGGAAAGGGAAAGTGTATCTAAAAGAATATGCATAAGATGTCTTAAAAGGATACTTAGAAATTTTAGCAATATCTCTAATGAGTTTTTAAATGGTTTGTTAAATTTCCTATTTAAACTTGTTTTAAAAATTAAAATGTAATTAACTTTAAAATAATAAGCATGTAATGCTTTCATAGAACAAAAGAGTCATCAGATTATAATGTATATTAGCAGTTTTTAACTTCTTTTAACAATAGAACCATTATTTCAATAAAAATCTTACCAACACACACACACACACACACACACACGGTAAAAAAGAGTGGAGCTGGTCAAATCGAGAGTATATCCAAAGACCCAATTAGACGTGCGTTTTCCAAACTTTCTGTGTGGCCCTCCCAAGCAATCCACAGAAAGCAACGTTTTTGCTGACCTAAACTCACTGTGAAAACTAACTAATACATATCTCAGTAAGTATAATACAATTTCATTTTGTTTCAGGATAAAATAAAAGCAGTTATATATTTTTGCATAGAAAAAAGTAGAGGACACTATACCAATAAGGAAATTACAACTTGTTGGGCTTATTGATAGGATTTCTCCCTCTTGTATATTACTTTTTTAATTGACTACAAAAAGAAGGTATAAATGTTATGATCAGAAGGAAAAATTCATTTTAAATATATAAAAATAGGCAAAGGAAAATATCAATAATATGAATATCTATGATACATTTGGTAATGCTACAATAGCAATCAAATTCACAGTTCATTAAATTCAAATTCAAATAAACACTCGCAATGTCATCTCCTTCACACAATAGTTGCTTTGATGTAGTAAAAACAAACCACAAGTCCAAAAATATAATTAACACACAAAATGGTAAAAATAAAACTCAGGCTGTCACATAATAAAAACTTTTAAATGATTGTCAAGTAAAAAAAAAATGCCCTGGCTGGTGTGGCTCAGTGGACTGAGTACAGACCTATGAACCAAAAGGTCACTGGTTCAATTCCCAGTCTAGGGACATGCCTGGGATGAAGGCTAGGTTCCCAGTAGGAGACGTATGAGAGGCAACCACACATTTCCCTCCCTTCCCCACTCTAAAAATAAACAAGTAAAATCTTTTTAAAAAATAAGCTTCAAAATTTGCAGGAATATACCAAACATTTTCCTAAAGCCACAAGAAGTCAGTTACCTCTTTCACTTACTTACCATCACTTCCATATTCTTATGAGGTTCCACAAATCCATTAACAGTTAACTTACGCAGCACTGAAAAGTAAAATCAAGATTTATTTGCATCTTATTTTTTCATAAACTATCCTACTAAAATCATGATCATAATGATAAAAACTCAGAATCACAAAACCTCATCAAATTTGAAGGTTATAATCTTTATGCTTAACAGATACAGAAAGATAACCTCTGGTCATTGCTTGGTTTACTAAGTAGGAAAGATGGAACTAAAGCCAAGTTGTTGTGACTCAAAACCAGTGCTCTTCCCATCATAACTACTAATTTTTCTGAAACTACAATGCAAAATTTCACTTAATTTCTATAATTGTTAGTACCTCTCACCTGCAATAACCCTTATTGGTTGAAATTGAAAAGATTACCTCTATCTAGTCCATAAACTTTAAACTATGCCTCAAGGCTTCATAGTTGGACAGAATAAGTCTTTTTAAAAAATGCTATGGAATTTTTTTCTAGGCCAAATGCCTTAAAAATGCCAATGTGTATCAAGGACCTTGATATGTGGAGATACGGAAAAGCTTAAAGCAGGCTAATGTACAGTAGAGCTACATCCCTGGGGTCTGGAGTTAAACTCTGAAATCAGTAAAGCAAGAAAAGTCTATAATCAGAAGAAAACGTGAAAATTCCTCAATCATTAAATTCAGTATTTATACACAGTTTTATGTCTATAACCTTAAACAAGTTTCTCTCATTCTTTCTTAAGTATATATCTTATCTCTCTCTAAAGCCTTTGAATTTCTTCCTCAAGGATGGTTACAAAACCATCTCCACCCACTTGTTTAACCACCTGCACAATGGATTTTACTGTCAGCAGTCCTTTAACAGCATTCACCCTGTGCATAAAGTTCACCAAAATATGCTGAGAGTGTGGATTTTGTGCATCCTCTGCCTGGTTAATATAAGTGGCAGACTAGTGCCAAGAGTGTAGGGTGCCATCTTAAGGTACTAGAGTGAGTATGATAAAGGGATTGTGAAGAAAATAGAAGGATGCTAAACAGACTATAGTAAGAGAAAACTAAAAGCTCCTTGAGCTCAAACTAAGAAAAACAAACTAAAAGAGTTTTAGCAACCAGAAAAGAGACTATAAGACAAAGAGAATAACCAATCCAGTATTTTAAAAAGAAAAGGAATCTCAGAATACATTCAAGATAAAAAATAACCCAGCTTAGGGAAGGTAAAAATGAAGATTTATGCCAAGAGAATGCCTACATGCAAAGCATAGGAAAACAAAGCCAAGAGGACACCCCTCAGGCACCGTCTAAAATCTAAGTGAGCCTGAGGCACAAGCAGTAAAGTGGAACCTGAGTTCTCTGGGAAAAGAACTGGAAAACAGAGCTCAACTAAACCTTGTGGAGAGCAGAGTTAGCATGACAATGAGGGTAGAAGCCCTTAACATTACAGACATGAGCAATGTACAGTGGAAGCAAAAGAAAGTAGGAATATTTACTACTTTGAAAGGAATGCATTCAGAGCCATGAGATGACAGTATCATGAATGTAACAAAACTATTGCACACTTTCATCCATCAGAGTAAAGGAAGCACTATTATCATAAAAGAAAAACAAACTACAAATAAGCCCTTGTCTCTGAGGGAGAAATTAACTCCTATTCTCTCAGTGAGACTAGTAACAGAAAATCCATCCAGAAGAACTATTTGGTGACTGTTCTGAGGTATGTCATTTCAAAAACAAGCACGTCAAGTTTAACAGTACCTTTCAATGACAGCAGAGTTCGTTCTAGGGAACTGAGAACAACAGCAGCTTCATTGCCAGAAGAAACTTGCTGAAGGAATGTGTCTGTGTGGTGATTCCACAGAGAGCAAGCAAAATTATAAATTCCAGAAGCTAACTGTAAAGAAATATCAACAAATTTGTTCACATTATAGATTTCGGTAATCAATGAGACCTACAGATTAATACATTTAGGTTTTTAAATTGAGCACACATTTTCTATGAGATTTAACATAGTTAAGAGTCATTTATCACAACGTTTCAAACTTTCTGGGTCAAAATGCAGTGTAAATACAGTTTACATCGGCTTCTGCTATGAACACACACACAAAATCCACATAACCTCCCTAAAATATTATTTTCTTGAAAAAATACTGAGCATAATGCCTACATTACAGTCTGAAATTTTCTATTTGTACTTTTTATCTTCTGCTTACAGGTTTCAATGCTCAGTTTTTAAAACACTGATTTATGGACTGTCACTGAGTATATCAGATTAAGGCAATATACTAAAAAAATGTATACAAAGGAGTCAAATTTCTGTGTTCTGCCAGTTTTACCCATGTGGTTTTTGAGCATTTACTGGAAACATACAAACCACTGCACAGAGACCCAAAGCTTGTCTGGATGCTTTTCTAATGTGCACTGCTATCTAAAATCCCTCCTCTCACACTGAGATGCAGTTAACCTCTGCCTCACAGGTTGAGGAGGCATTATCTTCACTTTTATCTTCAGTGGCATCTTCAGTTTTCTTCCACAGGGTCTAGGACCAATCTAGCTGAGCCTGCACGGCCATTTTATTTAAATAAAAAACAGATGAAAATGCATATGACTAGCTATTATTAGTAGACTTCAGAAAAATTTTCTTATTCAAATATAAGCATATCATTTCAACTAGTGAAACATTTTATTTATGGTAAGGTTAGCCATCAGCAACCAGTCAGAAATGCAATTCTGTAAATATAACAATATTTCTATGGAAAAATCAAGTTCTATTTTTATTATTTTAATTCAGGAATTTTAACAGCTTGTGCTTACACCTGTAGGGAAAGTTAATCCGAATACTGGCTAACACCTTGTGATCTTCCCAGGGCACAAAAGGATGAAAGGCAGGTAAGGAACTACTAGACCATCTCCTGTTCACTGCCCTATCTCCTCTGCTAAGATGTCATGGGACAGTTTCTTCCCCACCCTGTTCAGAAGAGAGATGGAGAAAATAAAACCACTTAGTTACAGTTTAGAAGCGGCTCCTCAGCAATGGGGCATCCCACTAATTGCACCAGTTATTCAACCCTATTGCTTTGGTCATTCTTTAAGGCACTCAGGACAAAGACCACAGGGAGTGGGTACCAATGGCTAACTTCTGTTCCAGTCCAAAATAAATAAACCGTCTGAATCTAAGAGTGGCTCCTATCTTCACTGACTGATCCATAAAGACTAGACCTTGCCTCCCCCTTGTCCTGCATGCACTCTTGACAACAGCTGCAATAACTGCTTTTAAGACACTTTAGCATATTTTCAAGTACACATAAAACATTTCAGAAATAGTGTCAAATTATTTAATTCTTAATGTTTCGTTACAGCCAAAACATCATGATGACAATTATCTCAAGCAGTACAACAGCACAAGCAGCAGTATCATAAAAAGTTAATGGTCTAAAATTCACATCATTCCATGAAATACTGTTGTAACATAGAAGCAAATAATCTAATTAGAAGGGATATAACCTGACCTCCTTCCCCCGCCTCATGTGCTCCCAGGACTGGCCAAACCCAGTGGAGCCAAAGCAGGGGCACAGGGCACTGGAGGAGGTGGCATGGGGCCCAATGTGTCTTGGAGCTAATTCATATTAGAATGTATAGTCACCTCTTTTAAAATAAATGTATGGAGAACTTCCAGTCAAGATGGACATGCAGGTAAACATGGCTTGCCTCCTTGTACAACCACAGGAAAATTACACTAAACTATAAAAACACCAGTACCCAGAATCGTCAAAAAACTGAGCTGTATGGAAGTCTGACAACTAAGAAATTAAAGAAGTCACATTCGTACAGAAAGGTACGAGGGGCAGACACTCGGAGACATAAAATGAGCAGTCCCACACCCACGTCTGGTGGATAAAAACTGAGATGGATACTTCGGGAAAAAGGGACCCCAGACCCACAGCAGAACACCTGGCCTAGGGTTCCAGTGCCAGGAAGGTAAGTCCCCATAACTTCTGGATGTAAAAACCAGTGGGAGTTGAGGTGACAGAAGAAAGTATGAGATTCTCAAGGATCTCCTCTTAAAGGGCCTGCAATAAACTTAGAACTTACACAGACTCACTCCCTCTGCACTACTGCACCAGAAAAACAGTTGGAAAGGCAGCAGTGGCATATGGGGAGAAACTGAAGTATCTGGCATCAGGGTGAGTACTGTAGGAGAGATTCCTCCCAGACAAATCTCCAGAGGCCAGTCAGTGACCACTGTCCCTTTTCTGAGCCTTTCCCCACCCAGAGCCACAGATCCTAACACCATATCTGAGACTCCATCAACCTGGTTCACAAGGATGCCCCACCCTGGTGATTACCTGAGGCTCCTTCTCATCCATCTTATCTGTGAGCTTTTCTGCAACAGACCATGCTACTAAGACAGGGAGTCCCCTGGCTGGCATAGTTCAGTGGATTGAGCGCGAGCTACGAGCCAAAGCATTGCAGGTTCAATTCCCAGTCAGGGCACATGCCTGGGTTGCAGGCCGCAGGCCACAGCCCCCAGCAACCGCACATTGATGTTTCCTCTCTCTCTCTCCCTCCCTTCCCTCTCTAAAAATAAATAAATAAAATTAAAAAAAAAAAAAAAGACAGGGAGTCAAAGCAGCTCTACCTAATACACAAAAACAAATACAGAGAGGCTACCAAATTGAGGAGGCAAATATGGCTCAAATGAAAGAATAGAACAAAACTCCAGAAAATGAACTGAACAAAATGGATATAAGCAATCTATCAGATGCAGAGTTCAAAACACTGTTTACTAGGATGCTCAAGGAACTTGGTGAAGACCTCAACAGCATAAAAGAGATCCAGTCAGAAATGAAGGTTACACTAAGTGAAATAAAGAAAAATGTATAAGGAACCAACAGTGGAGTGGATGAAGCTGAGAATCAAATCAATGATATGGAACATAAGGAAGACAAAAAAACATTCAATCAGAACAGCAAGAAGAAAAAAGAATGAAAAAATGAGAATAGAGCAAGGAATCTCCGGGACAACTTCAAATGTACCAAATTTTGAATCATATGGGTGCTGGAAGGAGAAGAAAAAGAGTAGGAAATGGAAAACTTATTTGAAAAATTAATGAAAGAAAACTTCCTTAATTTGGTGAAAGAAATAGACATACAAGTTTAGGAAGCACAGAGTCCGAAACAAGATGGACACAAAGAGGACCACACCAAGACACATCATAATTAAAATGAAGAGAGAATCTTATATTCAGCAAGAGAAAAGCAGAGAGTTACCTACAAAGGTGTTCCTGTAAGTCTGTTAGCTGATTTCTCCAAAGAAACTGCAGGCTAGAAAGGACTGGCAAGAAGTATTCAGAGTGATGAAAAGCAAGGACCTGCAATCTACATTATCATTTAGAATGGAAGGACAGGTAAAGTGTTTCCCAGGCAAGGTAAAGTTAAAGGAGTTCATCATCACCAAGCCATTATTATATGAAATGTTAAAAGGACTTATTTAAGAAAAAGATCAAAACTATGAACATCAAACTGACAACAAAGCCACAGCTATCAATAATTGAATCTAAAAAACAAACTAAACAAACAAGCAGAACAGGACCAGATTCATAGATATGGAGATCATTTGGAGGATCATCAGCTGGGAGGGGAAGGGAGAGAATCGGGGAAAAGGTGCAGGGACTAAGAAGTACAAATTAGTAAGTACAGAACAGACAGGGGTGTATCAATAACAGTATAGGAAATGGAGTAGCAAAAGAACTTATATGCATGACTCATGGACATGAACTAAGGGTGGGGATTGCCATAGGGAATGGAGGGTACTGGGAGGAGGAGGGCAAAGTGGGAAAAACTGGGACAACTGTAACAGCATAATCAATGAAATATATTTTAAAAACAGAAGGGATATAATCAGACGGGGAAAAAGAAGCTTTAGCTCAAATGTGTAAGCTTTACTTATAGCTTCAATAAATGTTAATATTTTTCTTAGTAGGTCCTTTCTGAGAATATGAGGCTAAAATATATCTAGAGTCAGAAAATCCATCCATTATTCTAACTTTTATTATATTTACTGTGTAATTTTAAGTTATAGCATCCTAAACTTTTACAAGCATACAAATCATAAAAATATTTGTCAGCTAGAATAAAGGGTAAGAATAGAAACAGAAGGATTTAGAGTCAGGGCACAGAAGAAATTATATATAAGACCAAAATAAAGTTCAGATTTTAAACTAGGCATGTTCTCCTGGGAGTATACCCGCACCTTTCCCTTCCCCTCCTCCTCCCCCACAGGCAGGAACCCCGTAAACTCTAAGTCACTCCACAAGACTTGCAAACGGGAGCAATGGGCGGCCCAGCTCGTGCCAGCTAACTCCCTGAACCTGTCCTCCAAGGTTCCCCTTTCTCCGACCTCTCAGTGAGCCACGGCAACCCCGCCTGGGCTTGCTCCAGTTGCTTTTTCCAGTCTAAGCCCTTCCCTGTTTCACTGTTCCCAGCTTTAATAAACATACTCTAAAATGAAAAATAATATAAAACCAAAAGTATGGCATATCCAAATTTTAAATAAGAACAGAAAACTATTACACTCTGAAACAGTCCCTTGCTTACAAGAAAATGACAACTTGAATTATTTCATAGCCCTTCTTTGTGTCTCCTCCTTAAAACTACTTGTTTAATATTAACTTCTACATACACATAGAGTCTATTAAGATTGTTCAGAAGGATTGTCTACGTAAAAATTTGAGTGTTACCTAAAGTCACTTGAAATTTTTTAAAAGGTATCAGGACACAAATATTTATGCAGATAATTATCATTTACATGATAAAATAACAATATTAACAACAGAATAATAATACATTTATTATAATAACAGTAAGACACTTACTGAACCATACATACTGTCATGGGCACTGCTCTCATTAGTTTACCTGTACCAATGTATTTAATCATCACAATCTAAAAAGTAGTATTATTATTCCCCTTTTACAATAAGAAAACTTACTGAGGTATAGAGAGGTTAAGTAACCTGTCCAAAAGCGAACAGCATAATTAATAAGAGGAAGAGATAAGATTTAAATCAGGAAATGTACTCAGAGCCTGCATTTTTAATCTTTATGTTCTAATGCCTCTGAATATAGTAACTACCAATTAATTACATAGTAATTTAATAAAACAAATAAGCATTATTTGTATAAATAAGTTCTATTTAAACTTTCCAACATCAAAATATAAATTAATACTAAGTAGATACTATCCCACACATTCAGAGTCAGTATAGTAACTCCTATTCTCCAAAAGTTATATCATAATTCGGTAATGGTAGAATTTTCTTTTCATAACTGCACAAAGGAAAATTTTCCCACATGTTCACTGAGGCCAACACTGCTGCTAATATAAATGCAACAAATTGTGGAATCAGAATCTCATCTAAAAAGAGTAAATCCCGGCTCTTCTGTGTGCACCACTCAACAGAAAAATGTGTCCTTTTGTTCTATTATTTGTGTCGACTATCTATCAAAGATACAGCTAATATACACTAAATGTTTTTCACATATATGTAAAATATCATTATCACTATACTTCAGACTCAATAAAGACAACAATGGTAACCATTCTAATTTCCTCAATTAAAAGTAAAATTAAGCTTGACAAAGAGTTGATCAAATGGAATCTCACATTGGCTTAAGAAGAAAAACATTAAGGGAGACTCTGCCACTCTAAATCACCAGTATATTTTGAAATCATGCCAGAATTTATTTTAAAGGTATTTTATAGTAATGGTAGCAAACAGGCAAAACTACTTTTAACTGTTTTAATTTTTTCAGGTGCTGCTTCTATTACCAGGAGACCATCCCTTACAGAATTCCACCACTGCATACGCATGATGTAAATTATAGTATACGCACTGAACGAAAAACCCTCCCATTCACTCCCAATGCAGAGAACAAAATATACCGCAGGACACTTCTGAATACTGTACCAAGGTTCTCACCATCACGAGATTTGGATAAAAGGAAGTATTTCCTCATGGTACGATCAAAGTCATTAAAATAAAATGGTATTTTGCTCCATAAAATCATCCTCTTTTTCATTTATAATTTGATTGAAAAACATGTATGAGAAAGTTCAGTAATTCAGACAAGTCAGTAAATCAAAGGTTTTACTCCATCCCACCTTAAGTAATGTTTGAAATTCTTCATCCCCACTTCTTTAAAAATTAACACAGTAACATTTACAGATACTAATGGCAAAACCAGATCTTTATTAAGTCTTCCCTCTTTCTGGTCCCCAAAAGTAACAGTATAAAAGTTCTTTAAATTAGGACTATAAATATAAAACCACAAAAGTGGGTTGGCAAACAGCAGGCATTGCTGACTGAAGGCATACAGCACCTGAAACAGAAATCAAGAAAGAAACAGTACTTGTCCTGGCCTATGCTTTCTCAGCTCCCCTGGGCGCAGCTATAATGGGGGAGTCTGGCAGGACACACAGGCATCTCCCTCTCAGTGCAGGGGGGCCATCCTAAGTGAAGGGCTGACTCTTAAAGGCACTAGAGGATAATTTAAAAAAACAAAGAAAAGAAAAAGAAAAACAGTAGTACAGAAAAAATGTTTAAGTAATATTCTCCTTTGTTTCAGATTCTAGTTCTGGAGTTAAGCACCTGGCTAATGATATTAGGCATTTATTAAGGCTCCACTTCAAGATTCTTTTTAGCTAGCCTACACAAGGCCTCTATACAAATAGGGATGATTGAGATGATGAAGCAGCAATAAAAACTATCTTTTCAGCCCAATGGTGAAAGGAAAGAGACAAAGAAAAAATGACAGGAATTTGGGAGCAGCGCCAAGTATCCTATGCACACAAGCCCTGCACAAGCTTCTCTGTGCTCCAGAAAACACCAGCTGATGTACGCTTATGTAAGGCTCAGCTAGAAAAGAGAAAGAAAGGAAGGAAGCAAATCAGAAGAATGAAAATCTTCCTTCTATATTTCTTCTGAAAAAATGTGAAGGGGGAAAGGAATATTCAGTTAGATAATATAAAAATAAGCCCCTGAATGAAATGTTTTAGGTACTGGTACAGGAAAACCCCAAATACTGGTATTTCCTTTTTCTAAGCCAGGATAGTGCCACCCACTTTCTGCTCAGTGACTTTAACTAAGAAATACATAGACTTGACTCCATGAATATCAAAAAGAAACCATTCATTATAGGAAGTTTTATTTCTTCTGGCATTTTATATATTAAACTTTTCCCCCCTCAGAACCACCTATCTTTTACAGTTGAATACCAAAGTATTTAGCAATAAAATGTTATATAGTCTTGTAATTACTTTAAAATACCTTAGAAAAAGCAATAAAGCAAAAATAAAATGGTAACTGCTAAATCTAGGTCATGGATATATGGCAGTTTATATCTGTCCTTTATTTTTCTGTATGTCTCTATAATTTCATAACAAATTTTTAAAACACCTGTACCTTCTTAACAAAAAAGGTAGTTAACAATTGTAACTCAACACAATGTAAAAAATGTTGTGCTGGAAGTGAGCTGAGTAGGCCTGTATTTATTCTACATGGAAAGGAAGTAGCATCACACTACTAGAAAACTCAGCAAGAGAACTGAAGTGTTCAGGAAGCAAACTCAAACAAGGTGTACAGAGTAAGTCCCTGCTAAGATAAAATCTGTTGAGACTGCCTAGGCTAAATAAAAATTATACTGAAAACCAAGGCAACGCATTAGGAGCGTAAAACTTGAGAAAGCCAAAGTAAGAATTAAGACTTCTATAGAAGGGTAATAAAGAGTAACAGTAACACAGAATCTTCCATATAAAGCTTCTATATGAAAAACTTCCAATAATAAAACAAATGGACAAACATAGGTGTGAGGATGAAAACAGGGGTTGGAGTGATTTGATGGAAGGAGCCACAAGCCAAGGAACGGAGGTGGTCTCTAGAAGCTAAAAAGGCAAGCAAACAGATCTCCCCTTAGAGCTGCCAGAGGAACACAGCCATCGCAAGAGCTTGATGGACTTCTGTCTTCAGACCAGAATAAAGCTAATGAAGCTGATGACTACCAAAAAGAACTTAGAAAACTGAAGTCTGGATCCATTATTTTTGGATCAAGGCACACTGAATTGCTTAAGAGATAGAAGACTTGTTAATGGCTTGTCAACAGGTATATAAAACTTTACAGAAAGAACTGACTGCAAAAGAAAGGCAGGAAGACATCAAAAGAAGAATTAACCCTGCAGGTAACGAACTGGACATAACCAAAAATCATCTCAATCAAAGGAAAAAGCTCTAACACTGACAAGTGAAAGGTGCGGTCAAGAATAATTTCTTCCCAAAATATTCTGTTTATGTCAGTATGCCATATATATTTGAAACATCAAGGTCCTACATATTTTAATAACAATGAAATCTAAGGATTAAAGATGTAGTGCATCTGGGTGGGGGGCGGTGGGGGGGAGGGACAAATCAAAAGGATAAAGGTGAGAAAAATTAGCAAGAAATTCATAGGAAGACTTGAGAACATAAACTGTCCATTTATTTTTCTTTTTAAATCCCCACCCAAGGATATGTTTATTGATTTGAGAGAGCGAGACAGAGGGCGAAATATCAATCGGTAGCCTCCTGCACGTGTCCTAACCAGAGATCAAACCCACAATCTATGTGCCCTGGCCAGGAATCAAACCAACGGCCTTTTGGTGTACGGGATAATGCCCCAACTAACTGAGCCAGCAGCCAGGACTGTTCATTTCTTTAGTCCTAGTTATATATCAAGCAAAAATGACAACATTTTAAAAGCAACCTTTAACAAAAAGAACTCCTATACTCAGTATCTTCAGTAAACATAAGACTGACTGAACCCACTGGGTTAAAAAAACAAAGACATAGTATGGTTCTGGCTTAAACTTGGTGTATGTAAGAATCACCTGGGGGAGCCAAATGTAGATTCCCAAACTGAAGATTCCAAAAAAAAAAAGCAAGAACACTGTTAAAAATACTTTAAGACTCACCAGTGTTACACGGTGCAGTCCAAAATGTTACATTGAACAATGTTACATTGAACAACAATTGCTGTTTTGGTAAGTCAAGACAGTCCAATACAAAAGCATCAAAGCAATTGAATGAAAAAAAAGATCTTCAACAAACGGTGCTAAAACACCCAATAAAGGACTATTGACCCCCAGTGATGTCAGACTCCTTCCTACATCTACCCTACATCCATCCATTACCCAGACATGTCAATTTTAACTTCCTAGATTTCACCTCTATATACTCTCCTAAATGTTCCCTTTTGCACTGCTTCATTTAAGAGCTTCAGCATCTCATATGAACTACCTCTATAGCCTCAAACCAGTCTCTTTACCTTCAGACTGTTTCTACCCAACCAATTCCCCTCAAATCTTTCAGATATTACCTATTATTTTGAAACTCTGAAGTCATTTAGAAAAAATTCATAACCTTTCAATAAAATGTTTACATAAAATTACAATTTTTATATAAGCACAATTTTCATAATCAAATTATGTTAAATTACTTACATCATAAAACAGTTTTCTATCAGCAGCTAGACGTTTAGAGGCCAGAGTCTTGGTAACGTGATAGAAGGTAAGTAATGCCCTGTGCTGTCGAAGATCATCTTGGACTTTCACAGACTCTATAAGAGTGGGAATCAGTTCAGGCCACTGTCTGGGACAGTCCAAGCGAGCTACCTTTGCAATCAGCACTGCAATCTGAGTTGCAATCTGGAGAAGGAAAAATTAATCACTGAAAATAAACACATGCAATCAAAACAATGAATAAGAAATGCATTCACAGTTGAAAGTTACCTTTTTGGTTAACTATACATTTGACCAAAATGAGTAAAATTTTCACAAAACCAGTGTGTAAGATGTGGTTTTCAACGTGTGGTCTATGAACCTCAGATTGGGGGCCTAAAATGCTTTCCGTGAGATCTTCCCTTTCATAATAACACATTGTCTTCATGTAACTTCTACCAAAATAGTATGTTGCAACACAGTAAATGCAGAAGCAGCTATGAAGATGCAGGTATCTTCTTTTAGGAGCCAGACACTAAAGACATACACAAACATGCAGAACAATGCAATTCTTCTCATTAAATTATATATTGTTTTGAGAAATAGCTATCATTCACTTTTTTTAAATTCTGTTTATGTTAACAAGGAATGGTTTTATTTTAATTAATATTTAATTTTTTCAGTTTCATTTTCTAACACAGTAAATATCAACAGATACTACTCTTTAGAGTTTTATTTTGGCAGTATAAGGAACTTCTAAGATCACAAAATTTGAGAACTACTGACCTAAGAATAGAAATGAACATCAAATATTAGATATTTAAATAATGGTATCTGTTTAGATAAGTATATCTCAAATGCTGGATGACAGAACATCTAACCAGTGGTTTATCTCCCAACCACCCAAACCCATCCTAATAAACCCCTGCCCCAGTGAGAGTTACTCAATTCCTTTCCACCTTCCCTTATCTGCTTAAGGACCTGTAAGGCAAAAAACTGAGATCATTTAAATAAGCTGAAGTAAAGCTACATTGGATGCATGACCAAATACAGTATACTCTGTATCCATAAGCAAAACTTCATTTATTTTTAGAAAAAGAAATCCACTATGGCGGGGGGACTGTATAGTTTACTATCTATTCTCCATGTAGTAAGAATTGAAAATGTGATGGATGAAAGAGACAAAAACCTGAAATCATCCTACAGCTTACAAAAAGGGGGGAGAGATGATCTAAATCATTAAAATCAATTTCTATGTGGAAAGACTACAAATATAGAGACATTACCTTTCAATGTTTGCTCAAAAACTGAGGACATTTAAGAAGTACACAAGTATGTATTAAAATGATTTCTGTACATTAAATAAATAATAGCCAAATCGAACCAAAATTCTTAACACCTAGAACTGGGTCTCAAAATTAAAAAACCAACAGAGAAGTATGTATAAATATCACAAATGGATATTATGTAGTAACATTTCCTTTTTAATGCCAAGAAACAAAATTAGTCTGGAAAAGAAACAAAAAGGAAGGAAAGAGAAAGAATAATCAGCATTCATCTTCTCACTCACCTGGTTTACTGGTTCATTGAAGTTGGTGATTAGCCCTGCACGCAATGTAGATTTCTCCTCCTCTGAGAGAGCACTGAAAAAAGATATATTTATTATGCAAGATAATGCTACCTAACAATAAATGCAGGTAAGCACTACTGTGAATTTTAACTAGAAAAAAGCCTTTAAACAAGGTTTGATTGTTTTTGGTAAATAAATAAAGTTATTTTCATTACTTGTAATTGGCACATCAAGTAATTCTAAAGCATACATAGAAACAAACACAAAGAGGCTGCCAAAACGAGGAGGCAAAGAAACATGGCCAAAATGAAAGAGCAGATAAAAACTCTAGAAAAAGAGCTAAATGAAATGGAGGTAAGCAATCTATCACATGCAGAGTTCAAAACACTGGTTATTAGGAGGCTCAGGGAAATCACTGGGTACTTCAATAGCATCAAAAAGATCCAGGCAGAAATGAAGGTTACACTAATTGAAATAATGAACAAATTACAGGAAAACAACAGTAAAGTGAAGAAAGCCAAGAGTCAAATCAATGATTTGGAACATGTGGAAGCAAAAAACAACCAATCAGAACAACAACAACAAAAAATCTCCAAAAATGAGGACAGTATAAGCAGCCTCTGGGACAACTTCAAGTAACCCAACATTCCCATCATAACAGTGCAGAAGGAGAAGGGAAAAAGCAAGAAATTAGAACTCTGTTTGAAAAAATAATGAAAGAGAACTTCTCTAATTTGGTGAAGCAAATAGACATGCAATCCAGGAAGCACAGAGTCCCAAACAAACTAGATGTAAAGAGGCTCACTCCAAAACACATCATAATTAAAATGCCAAAGGTTAAAGATAAAGACAGAATCCTAAAATCAGCAAGAGAAAAGAAGTTAGTAACCTACAGGGAGTTCCCATAAGACTATCAGCTGATTTCTCAAAAGAAATCACAGGGTGGAAGGGCTGGCAAGACATATTCAAAGTCATGAAAAGCAGAGACCTAAGCCAAGAGTGCTCCATTTAGAATTGAAGGGCAAATAAAGAGCTTCCCAGACCCCGCCCCCCCAAAAATGGAGTCCAGCATTACCAAACCATTACTATATAAAATGTTAAAGGGACTTATTTAAGAAGAAGAACAAAATCAAAATTATGAACAATATAAATGACAAAAAAATACATTATCAAGTCAATCTAAAAATCAAACTAAGCAAGCAAGAACAGAGACAGAACCATGGATATGGAGAGCATTTTGATGAATGTGGGATGGGAGGGGGTTGTGAGAGGATGAGTGAAGAGGTGAGGGGATTATGAAGTGCAAATAGGTAGTTACAGAACAGCCACAGGGATGTAAAGTACATTATAAGAGATGGAGCAGCCAAAGAACTTACATGCATGACCCATGAACATGAACAATGGTGAGGGGATTGCTTGAGGGAGTGGGGGCTGCCAGGTGCAGTCAGAGAGGGAAAAATCAGGACAACTTTAACAGCACCATCAATAAAATATAACTTAAATAAAAAGAATACAAACCAGCAGATTTTAAGTACCAGTTTGAATATCACTTTGATTACTAATCTTAGTTCCTTTGCTCCCTTTCTCAGTACATTTGTAACATCCTTTCCTCCTAGGTACATTCATCCTTTCTAGCTTGTATCTCAATATAAACTAAGGAGATACCTTGGGGTTTCACTTCCTAAAATCATATAACACCATTAACTTTTTAAAATGAACTTTAGTTTTAACTATGTGAAAGTTAAATCTAAAATATTTAATAATTTATTCTTCCTTTTAGTCATTCTAAATGACTATCTGTACCCATTACAACCATATTCTTTTATTTTTGGCATTTTATTTTTTAATATATTTTATTAATTATCTGTTAAAGTTGTTCCATTTCTTTTCTCCTCTTTATTCCCCTCCGGCCTGCACCACCTCTCCTACCAGCATTTCCCCTCCTTAGTTCATATCCATGGGTCGTACATATAAGTTCTTTGGCTTCTCCATTTCCCATACTATTCTTACCCTCCCCCTGTCTATTTTGTATCTACCATTTATGCTTCTTATTCCCTGTACCTTTTCCCCCATTCTTTCCCTCCTCCATCTTGGCTAATAACCCTCTATGTGATTTCCATTTCTGGGATCCTGTTCCTGTTCTAGTTATTCATTTAGTTTTTGTGGGGTTTTTTAGGTTCAGTTGCTGATATTTGCAAGTTTATTATCATTTTACTGTTCATATTTTTTATCTTCTTCTTAGATAACTCCCTTTAACATTTCATATAATAAAGGCATGATGATGAGTTCCTTTAACTTTACCTTATCGGGAAACACTTAATGGTAGCTTTGCTGGATAGAGTAATATTGGATATATGTCTTTGCTTTTCATAACTTTAAATACTCCTTTGCCTACAAGATTTCTTTTGAGAAATCAGCTAAAAGTTTTATGGGAATTCCTTTGTAGTTAACTATCTCCTTATCTCTCTCTCTTTTTCTAGATTTTTAGAGAGAGGGGAAGGGAAGGAGAAAGGGAGAGAAACATCAATGTGTGGTTGCTTCTTGCATGCCCCATACTGGGGCCCTGGCCCAAAACCCAGGCTTGTGTCCTGACTGGGAATTGAACTCTCAATGCTTTAGTTCACAGTCCAGTGCTCAATCCACTGAGCCACACTGCCAGAGCAACTATCTCCTTGTCTCCTACTGCTTTTAGATTCTCTCCTTATCTTTAATCTTGGGTAATGTAATCATGATATGCCTTGGCGTGTACTTCCTTAGGTCCAAATTTTTGGGGACTCTCTGAGCTTCCTGGACTTCCTTGAAGTCTATTTCTTTTGCCGAACTGGGAAAGTTCTCCATTATTTTCTCAAACAAGTTTTCAATTTCTTGCTCCTCCTCTTCTCCTTCTGGCACCCCTATGATTTGGATGTTGGAATGTTTAAAGTTGTCCTGGAGGTTCCTAAGCCTCTCCTCGTTTCCTTGAATTCTTGTTTCTTCTTTCTGATCTGATTGAATGTTTACTTCTTCCTTTTGCTCCAAATCGTTGAGTTCCATTTCTTTACCTTCACTGTTTTCTTTTATATCACTTCTCATAGCCTGCACTTCTTCCTCTATTTTGTGACTATATTCAACCATTTCCGTGAGCATCTTGATTACCAGTGTTTTGAATTCTGTACCTGATAGGCTGACTATCTTTAAATCACTTAGTTCTATTTTTGGAGATTTGTTCTGTTCTTTCATTTGGGCCATGTTTTGTGTGTGGGTTTTGTTTTTTTTGTTGTGTTTTTTTGGTCTCAGGGCACCTGCTACATTGTAAAGGGGGAAACCTTAGGTATTCGCCAGAGTGGGTCAACCCATGTGGCTGCATTGTGGCACTGTATGTGGGGGAGGGGTCTGAGAGAGAACAATGCTGCTTGCTCAGCTCTTGGCCAGCTTTCAGTCACTTCCCTCACTACCCACAAGCAAACAGAGTATGTGGGTTTGTGTACTTCTAGGACCCTGTGGGTCTCTCCAACAAACTCTCCTATGAGGCTGGGAGTTTCTCCTACCACTGCAACCCCCACAGATATTTCCAGTCAGAGGTTTTGAAGCTGTATTTCCCTGCCCTGGAACCCTGAGTTGTGTGGTCTGTCTTACTCCCCAGTTGTTCCTCCTGGTTTATCTGCATGCAAATTTGGGACCACCCAGTCCAACAGCCGCAGCCTTGCCCGCCCCCATCCTCTAGCTGCCACCTTGCCTCAAGTCCTCTCTGCCCTTGCTCCCCATCTCTACCCCTCCTATCGGTCTGGATGAATGATTCTTCTTTAGCTCCTTAGTTGTCGGACTTCCATACAGTTCAATTTTCTGGCAGTTCTTGTTATTTTGTTTTGAAATTTGTTGTCCTTCTCTCGGTTATGCGAGGAGGCAACATATATCTACATCTCCATCTTATGCTCATTATAACCATATTCTTCATAGAACCAGTGAAAAATCAATTTTGGGCCCTGTCCAGGTACCTCCATTATTTGGAGCATCCTCCCTTATAAGCCATGATTGTAGGTTCGATCCTAGTCAGGGCACATAATAAGAATCAACCACTGAATACACAGATAGGTGGAACAATAAATCAGTGTTGATCTCTCTCTCTCAAATCAATAAACTTTTAAAAATTAATTTTAGGAAACTCCTGAAATTTAACTGGATATAGTAGCAGAAAAGTTTGTACTACAGCACTATTTCCAATAACTCAACAGTCTAGTTTCTCATCATTAAATATTCTATCTCAAAATTATGAATTAATTTTAAAATAAGAGATGGTTTTGCTTTATACTACAGTATCTTAAGTATAGCCTGGAACTATTCTAGTTGCTTCCAATACTATTCAAGACCATATTTTATATGCATTTTGAAGTACTCAGACAAGTTTTTTTTTAAGGCCCTATGAGTATAAGAGCTATGGTGCCATCTACTGGAAAGCAAAGGCTATGTTACTTCTTCAGCAAGATTCACTATTTTATACCAAATAAATTCTGGGGTCATATCTACATTGCCTTTCCATCAGTTATATAACATGTAATTAATTATCAAGAGAAGTATGTTCACTTGAGCACTTACAGAGCAATTACAACTGAATCTGATGAAATTACAAATGTACATTATCCCATTCCCACCACATAGGAAATTAGGCAGAAGACACCAGAATTAACACCCAGCTGGCTCAGAAAAGACTTTGGATATCCTTCTCAATGATTTGTTTTTTCAAAATCCTAATCTCATACTTCTTTAACAAAACAAACTTAAAATATACTTTTTCAACATGACTCCTTCAACTCAAGCTGCCTTTGTTTTGTGGCCATAAAATTAAAGATCCTTGAAAGCAGGGCAACAAGAAATCCACACAAACACCTCCCTGGAATAAAAAAAAAAATCACGGAAAAAAGCAATATGGATACTGATTTGTAATTACCATGCAGGACACTTTTCTTCTTTAATAAGTAATACATTTTTTTTCTTTTAAATGTCAAACACTTCACAAATTTGCAGGTCATCCTAACAAAGGGACTGTGCTAATCTCTACAATGTTCCTGTTTTGGTATATGGGCTACTTAAATAAACACAAACTCACTGGGATGGGGAGACTGATGAAACTTACTGAGGTGCTACGCGTCTCCAGTAACGGTCAATTCCATTTTTAAAATACAGCACAGCAAGCCACCTTACATTTATATCCAGAGTGTGGTTTGTGAAAATATTCTGCAAATAAAAATACATAGTATTATAATAAACAAATGTTAAAAGTTCAATTAATATACTCACAATAAAATATGAAAAAAAATTAATTAAATGTTTCATGTAAATTATAACACCATATTATCTGATAAATACCTATAGTTCTACATTTCATTTAAGAAGTATACCCATTCAGTAGAATGTTAATTGTTTAAGCTGAGTAATGGACAGGTGAAGATTTATTATATTATTTTACTTTAAGTATGTTTGAAAATTTCCCTAAAAAACATAAAGCAAAATAAACCTCATTATATAATCACAACGTACACACACAAAAACTGAAAATCATCTAAATTAAATAAAAATATACCCATCACAGCGCAAATTCAAAGATTCTACGGAGTCAAAGCCCTTGGGTTATTAGTACATTCTGTGAAATGAATTATTTCTAAGTATTCTCATTAAAACAAGTGTGCTTAACAATGTTTGATAGTAGAACAGTTTTAAATTATATAATGCAGATGTGATGTGAATAATTTCAACTCAGTATTAACCATTACTCAAAATATTTACCTGCTATGTTAATATAGGTAATCCTCATTTTGCACAGTCTCGGAAGACTGTAAAAATGATTGTGTAAGCTAAATGATGCAACATAATCTTAATAATCAGGGAGAAAGTAACAATTGCTCTGTGATCTTTAAATTTTTACTAAGAATTTAATTAAAATTATTATAAAAAATTTATAACTGATAATTATAAATGTATATAAAAATAGTGAAACTAATTATTTCCACTGTAATTCAAAACATCACAGGACTTCTGATCAAGATGGAAGGGTAGGTAAATGCCCTCAGTACTCAAATCTTCCCACAACCACATCAAAATCACAACTAAATTACAAAACAAGCATTATTCAGAACCTCCTGAAATCTAGCTGAATAGAAGTCCTGCACCTATGGATTTAAAGAAGCAGCCACAGTGAGCCTGGCAGGAGGGGCAGAGACATGGAGTAGGCTGGTCCACACGCACATGTGGCAGTTTAAAATTGGGAGGGATATCTCAGCTGTGGAGCCTCCCCCCCCGCCCCCCCCTCCCCCGCTGAGAAGTAAGGGATCCCAGCCCCACACCAGGACTCCCAGCCCAGGGTTCCAGTGGCAAGAAAAGAAGTCTCCATTAACTTCTGGCTATTAAAAACCAGTGGGGATTGTATCTGAAGGAGACAAGGGCTTCTGGAGTCCCAGGCTGTTCCTATGAGCCCACACACAGACTTACTCACTCCCTCTGAGCTCCAGCACTGGGGCAGTGGCTCGAATTGTATGACATCAGAGCAAGAGCTGGGGGACAGCTTTCTGCCAGACGAAAGTGCTGGCAGAGGTCACTGTTCCTTTTCTGACACCCACCCCACTCACACATGCAGAGTTGGCAGGCAGGCACTATATCAGAGTCTCCATCAACCTGGCTATCACTGTTTGCCCTGCCCTGGTGATTCCCTGACACCCCACGTCACCCAACTTGTGGGCCAACCCAAGCCATTTCTAGTAGCTCTTCAAAGCCAATGGCCTTTATTGCCTCATGCCATCTCCAGATAGCTCTATAGCTCTATAGCTCTGGTGGCTGCAGGCAGGGTACAGGTAGTGGCTGACCTTTCACCTCCCATGAGGCCCCAGAGCCAGGGCACCCCAGGAAAAGCTTCAGACCATGCAAGATTACAACCCTACCACTTCCACAAGTAACACACTCACAGGAAGACTGGGTGAGCACCAAAGCTCCACTAAAGCAAGTCCTGCTCCAAAGCATCAACTTCTGCACAGCCACTCCTCCACTGCAGGTACAGCCGAGTCTAGGAGCCAATGAGCCTGGGGCAGTGGGGGTTGATGCCTCCCAGTGATACCCACAGCAATCGAGGCTCAACTACAACAGGACAGTGCACACAGCTGACACAGGGATGCACCTAGAGCACCCAACTTAGGTGACTGAGAGGCTACCCCACTGGACCCTATAGGACATCTACTGCACAAGGCCACTCTACAAAGTCCAGGAGACAGAGCAGCTCTACCTAATACATAGAAACAAACACAGAGAAAATGCAGAGACAAAGAAGTAGGTACCAAATGAAAAAATAGGAGAAATCTCCAGAAAAAGAACTAAATAAAATAAAGGCATGCAGACAAACTACCAGATACATGTTCCAAATGAAAAAATAGAACTCCAGAAAAGGAACTAAACAAAATGGAGACAAGTAATCCACTAGATGCAAATTTCAAAACACTGCTTTATAAGGATACTTAATGAACCTAGAGGAGGAGCATATGAACTCAGAACTACAACAGCATAAAAAGGACATGGAAACCATAAAAAGGAATCGGTCAGAAATGAAGGATACACTAATGAAATGAAGAATAAGCAGGGGTGTCAAACCTGCAGTCCACAGGCCGCATGTGGTTCAGGATAGTTATAAACGCAGCCCAACACAAAACTGTACATTGACTTAAAACATGAGATTTTTTGTGTGTGATTACATGTTGCAGTGTATTTAATGTGTGGCCCAAGACAACTCTTCTTGTAGTGTGGCCCAGAGACACTAAAAGGTTGGGCACCCCTGACAGGGAACCAACGGAATAGACGAAGCCAGAGTTAAATCAACAATGTGGCATATAAGGAAGCAGAAAACACCAAATCAGAACAGCAAAAAGAAAAAAGAATCCAAAAAAATGAAGACAGTGTAAGGAGCCTTTGGAACAACTTCAAGTTTACCAACATTTACATCCTGGGGATACTGGAAGGAGGAGAAAAGGAAATTGAAAACTCTATTTGAAAAAATAATGACAGAAAACTTCCCTAACTTGGTGAAGGAAATAGATATACAAGCCCAGGAAGTGCAGAGTAACGAACAAGACATCCAAAAGAGGCCCACACCAAGACTTATCATAATTAAAACACTAAAGGTTAAAGACAAAGAATCTTAAAAAGCAGCAAGAGAAAGGCAGTTAGTTACCTACAAGCAAGCTCCCATAAGACTGTCAGCTGATTTCTCAACAGTAACTTTGCAAGCCAGAAGGGAGTAGCAAGAAATATTCAAAATATGAAAAGCAAGGACCAACAACCAAGATTACTCTACTGAGGAAAGCTATCATTTAGAATCAAAGGACATATAAAGAGCTTCCCAGACAAGACAAAGCTAAAGGAGTTTATCATTACCAAACCAGTATTACATGAAATGTTACAGGGTCTTCTATAAAAAGAAAAAAAAGATAAAAAATATGGATAATAAAATGGCAATAAATAAATTAAATTAAAAATTAAAAACAAAAAAATCGCAAACATTGAGAATTAAAGTATTTCATTTCTTCATAAAAAAACAATTAAAAAAACTTATTTAGAGCAGATGCTACCAATACCCTGCTCCATTATTTACTCACCCATCAACAAACATCTCTTAAACGCCCTCAAAGAGCCATGCCTTGAATTAGTAAATTGCAGTGCAATGGCAGCCAAACATATGGATACCTTTCACTAAGTAAATCAGTAACATAAGTAAGTTTTAAAACAATTAATATAATAGTATCTCATTTTACAAAAATACAAATAACTATTTTGAACAACTTACCAGCAACACTGAATAGAAACCCGGCTGTGTTTCCCACTGTTTCAACTGCTCCTCCGCTGGCTTTAACACAGTAGTATCCTGACTGGTGGCCTGCGTTAAGACCTGAAGAACAACACTGCTGGCACTATTGAGATCCATGGAAACCTGGCAATGATAAATTAACATATTTGAATGTATATTACACATACCAAATTACCAGAAACATGAATGGAGAAAAAGCTTCAATGATCTGAATTACTCCTACACTTCAATCACTCACCTATTCCTTCATGTTTCTGCTGGATTTCTACCTTTTCTATGTGCCACCCATACACTTACTTAAAATTCCCATAGTTCAATTTAAGCCAGCTAAAATAAAAATAAAATTCAAGTTTTAAAATAATAGCCATTATCTGAGTGTACATGTTGTTAAGCATTACATTAAGGCTTTATTAATTAATTTATTCCTAGTAGTAATTCTATGTGGTAGGTAGTAAAGGATCAGAGACCTTACCTTGCCACAGACACAATCTATTAAGTGGCACTGCCGGACTTAACCAGCAAAGCCACACTAACCGTAATCAGTATCTAACACCGCCTCACTCAAGTGCCAGCACTGACATCTAAAGCATCTCTGTAGTCCCAGGAGCTCAACAAGACACATGATATATGCTTAATAAATATTTGCGGAATAAAGAAAGGCGACCAATTTTGAATAAAGTACTTCACACTGAACCACATGGCAGCTAATTAACTGATTTATTTCATTACATTACTGAAAGCCTGCTGTGTACCAACCACTGTTCTTAGAATATAGCAAAGAACAAAAAAGTGTCCCTGACTTCATGCAGCTTACCTTCTAGTGGAAAGTAGTGATATAAGAAAACAACATCATGTTTCAAAGACTGATAGCAACTGAATGTGTTACTTTAGATTGGGTGTTCAGGAAAAGCTTCTTTGAAGTGACACAAGAGACAGGAATGACAAGAGATGCTCAGCCATGCAGAGGTCCAGACAGAGAAAACAACTGACAACAAAGCCTAAAGATTAGAAATAAATTTAAGAAGGTCAGTATGACTAACACTTATGAGAAAAGAGGAAAGTAGAACAAGATGAGGTTGGAGAAGTAGGCAGGAACAGCTTACGGATGACCTTGTAGGGGAAAATAAAGTGTCTTGACTTTAATAGATAAACCCCCAAAAGAGCCCTTGGAAGTTAGAAAGAATATATTAAAATATTAATATAAACAATAATAGTAAAATGTTCTACCAGAATTCATCCCCACCCCCCAAAAAGAAAGAAAAAACCATGTCCGTTTTGGGTTACTACTAAAAAGAGCAGTTTTCACCTAGAGCAAAGACAGTGCAGAACATTCAACATGTACATCATGCACCTTCACTTTTCACATTTCCAGACCTTCACAGCAAGGTCTTATCCTTCTGCCCCCTCACCCTCAGCCTTTACCTGTTCTAATGAAGTTGCTGGATTCCATCCCTACCTACTCCACCCAGGTCCTCCCCAGAAGTGTATGCCCTGTCCCCTCCTCCCCTTGCTTTTGATTCTTGATCCCAAGAAGCCCATCCAGTGTGGGAGGGAGGGCTCAATTCACCCACTGGAGAACCAATTTTGTGCCAAGGACTGAGGTCGTGGCTCCCATGGTAAGATCAGAAAGGGTTTCTTTCTCTATCCAAATCCTGGGAGATTATGCGGTGAGAAGCAGAAAGATATATTCTCGTCATTAGAACAAACTGCGAAAAGTGAGTTTCAAAAATAAGAGTTGGAACCCAGAGTGTATTTTCCCTACAGAAACACAACTATGAGTGGTTCAGCTAATAGAGAATAAGGCTTTTAGGTCTGAGAAACAAACCATCTTTCATAACTTCTACTGGAAACATTTCCAAGGACTAATTAACTTACAAAGGAAAGTTTAAGCAGCTATCAGTTCCTAAATTGCAAATTAAATGCATCATCAAAAATAACTTAATTCAGGAATGACAGACTTATCATGGATTATTAAAAAATACCACATTACTAAAGCATATTAAGTGTTTTAAAGATCCCAAACAAACCTATCAAAGCAAATCTGACGTGTGGACTGATATCACTGTTTTATAGAGAAAGACCTTCCAACTATAGGAGAGTGTCCAGGATCATGTAGTAATTATTAGCACATGGCAGGGTGAGACCCAATAATCAGGTCTCTGGAATTCCAGCCTTTCCCACTCCCAAACACCCACCAACCTACCATGCTCTCCCACAGTAGGTTCCTAGAGAAACTGTCAAAAAGATTTCCGAATCCATCAGAAACCTAAAAGAATCACATTAAATATTCATACAGTACTCAACTGTGGAATTCTCTTAAAAGCACAGGGATGGCAACAAAGAACAGGGAGTAAAATGTATGGAGTCATTCAAATGTAACAGAGTGGGAAAAAACTTCATTTGGGTTAAAAGATAGATGAGTACTAGGGATTACTAGTAGTCAGTCAGAGGGTGGTACACCTGAAAAACTAACCTTTGATATTTTTTTTGGAATTAGCATAATTACAGAATAGCAGAATTTTTCTCTGAATAGCAGAATTACAGAAATAGGGTTGCTACTGTTATTTGCACCTAGTATTGAAAAAGGCACACAACCAATCTCCATACAAAAAACTGGACAAAACTGTAGGTAATAAAGGAAGGTGGAGGGGAAAGAAAAAAAAACAGGAAGAAGGAGAAAAGGAAGGAAAGAAGGAAAGAAGGAGTAAGTAAGGGAGGAGGGGTGGAAGATAAGAGGAGGATACGACAGACAGGGATTTGTGGGAATGGCTACATGTATTCCTCAACGGACTTGACAGGCTCTGCATGGAGATCACCACCAGTAGACCTGAAGGCCAGGGAAGCTAGTCTCTCACAGTAAAAGCACTGTCACAGCTCCTCTGCGTACAGGTCTACATGTAGTGTGAAAAACCCTCTACATATGTAAAGGAATTTATCCTTTTCCTTTCAGCATTCCTATCAATTACTAAGACCCTTAAGACAACCAAGCAGAAACAGCAAGATCAAATGTGCCTGTTTTCTAATTAATAATATGAACACTGAGGTTGCTTTGATTTTTCATTAATTTGTACAGTTTCAACATGTTGTCCAAGAGGAAACACTGCTTTTACTTTATGAGCCCTCAATTACGTATGCTACAGAAGAGAATTATTCAAAATCTAAACTCTTCTCTAAGAACAGAAACAAAGAAGTAGAAAATTAAAAGGACACAGGGGCTTGCCCTTCTCCCTACAGTGTTTCACAATTGAGTCAGTTCAATTTATTCATTAGTGGACTTTTTCTATTCTTGGATTCTATAAAAGTCTAAACAATGTAACAAATGTGAAACAGCCTAAAAATACTCATACCCTGTGACAGGACTTTCTAGGCTTGATTCTGTAAGATACTTCCCAATGTGCCTACAGTTGGGAACTTAACTAATTTTCATTGAAAGAAACAGACAAGGGAAAACTCAGCACTTCTGCCTGCCACCAACCATCTTAGATCCACAGTGACTTTAATTTCAGCCATGATCATTTCCTTTAGATTACCACATTATGTGAGCTTGTCCTTAGTTTTAGGAGATTGCATATGTAAACAATAACCCACCCCACTACTAAATGTTAAAGCAGTGAGTCAGTAAACTTAGAAGCTCTACTCCCAGGCAGCTGTAGCCAAGAACAAGGGGCTCCCTCTCAACCCAGTTTCTCCCAAAGAGGGGCAGGCAGTCAGCACTTCTCATCCACCCAAGCTGTGCTGCCACTCTATTTCAGGCAAGTGCAGCTGAGAGGTCGAGGGCTCTCTTCTTCCACCCAAGCACCGCTGGTGGAGCAGATGCTCTACCTCAAGCACATGAGGCCAAAAACAGGTGGCCTCAATCATGCCTACCCCAGCCTGCTCAAAGGGCCAAGGTTCCACACCAGGAACAGTAACAGCTGGAGATTTCAATACTCTACTTTCAATAATGGACGGAACAACTAGGAAGAAAGTAATGGAGTTCTTAAACGACATTATACACAAACTAGACCTAACAGATATTTAGAGAACATTCCCCTCAACAAAAGAATGCACACATTCCTCTTGAGGGGACACAGAGAGTACATGGAACATTCTCCAGAAGAAACCATATGTTAAACCACAAAACAGGCCTAAACAAATTTAAAAGGATTAAAATCATACAAATATGTTCTCTGGTCACAATCAAAAACAGAAATATGGGAAATTCACTCATATTTTCAGATTTCAAAACTCACTAAACTACTACAGTCATGAAAATGCTGGTAACCGGCACAATGGATATGTATGTTAATGAAACAGATTTGAAAGTCCAGAAACAAACCGTTACATCTAAATTCAACTGATTTTTTACCCTGGCCAGGTGGCTCAGTTGGTTGGAGCATTGTTGCATAGACCGAAAGGTTATAGGCTTGACTCCTTGTCAGGGCACATACCCAGGAGGTTGAGGGTTCAATTCTCAGTGGGGGCATGTTGAGGAAGGCAACCAATCGATGTTTCTCTCACATATCAATGTCTCCGTCTGTCTCTGTCTCTCTCTCTTCCTCTCTCTCTCCTTCACGTTCCCCCTCTCTCCTTCCCTCCCTGTCTCTCTCTCTAGAAAAAATATCCTGGGGCTGAGAATTAAAAAATCATAATAATAAAAATAAATAGTCAACTGATTTTTTAAAAGATTTTATTTATTTATTTTTAGAGAAGGAAGGGGGGGAGATAGAGAGAGAGAGAGAGAAACATCAATGTGCGGTTGCTGGGGGTCATGGCCTGCAACCCAGGCATGTACCGACTGGGAATCGAACCTGCGACACTTTGGTTCGCAGCCCGAGCTCAATCCACTGATCTACGCCAGCCAGGGCTAATAGTCAACTGATTTTCAACAAGCATACCAAGGCAATTCAATAAATAAAGCAGTCTTTTCAACAAATGGTGTTGAACTGGTTATCCAAATGCGAAAGAGTAGCTGGACCATTTCCTTACACCACACACAAAAATTAACTACAAAAGGTAACTCTATAAAACTCTTAGAAAATCTAGGGGTAAATCTTCATGACTGCATACCCACTGGCATGGCTACAGTCAAAAACCCATGTACACGTACTAAGAGGTATTGAGGAGGATGTGGGAAAATGGAG